ACCGACTTAGCCACCCAGGCGCCCCTCATGTTCCCAACCTTCTTGAGTCCAAGCTGCAAGAGTCCTGTGTTTTGCTGTAGCAGTCTGTGGAGGCTCCTGCTTCACAGGGAGGCCATAGGTGAACGCCGCTGGTCCCCGATGAGGGTGGCCTCTGTCTCCGAATCTGGGGAGGTGCCAGAAGCCCTGGAGGTTCTGACTGCAGATAAGGAAGATGAAAGTCACCTTGCAGGGGACCAGAAGCAGCCCCAGGCTGATAGTCAAACTGATACACTGGCCCCGTTGCAAAATTAGCTGGGTGGTCCACCAAAGCTGTGGTTAAATAGATGCCTGTTGTTGGGGGCAAACTCCCCACTGTCTTGACTGCTGCTGTCCCCAGAAGGAGGAGCCACGTCCTTTGGGCCTGGTGTGGATGGTGCCCATGGCTGAACTGCGCGGTGGGGGGTGGTGGTGGGATCGCATGGGGGTGCAGATGCGTTCCCCTTTCTGGTTGCCACATTCTGTTAAACTTTGAATCCCCTTAAAAATTCCCATGACTGTTTGGACCAAATCCCATTGTGGACATATCTTGTCAATTTGGCATCATTCCCAGTGGTTGCTCAACCACAGTGGTTTGCTGTCCTGAAGCTTCTCTTCGGTCAATCCATGCTTGAGCCAGTGCATGCCAGTCAATTCGGATGCTTATTGGTACTGGAGTAACTGCAACCATTGTGGTTGGTTCGAGGGCCATTGCTGCCAAGGCTGACCACCTTGACCCCATAGTCCAATGTCTAAATTTATTTAATTTTCTATCTCAGAGGTTGGCCTTCTGTGTAAAATTTAGGTTGATTCAGACCACAGCTCGGAGCGGAGCAGCAGGGTCACTCACGCCCTCCCCTTACGGTTCTGGAACACGCTGTCACCACGTTTCCTGCAGTGCCTCTCTGACCCTACAATCCTGCCACTTCCTCATGAACAAGCTCCAATTTAACTCAATCTTAACATGACTTTCGTGGAGATAGCATCAGATCTCACAGGCTAACGGGTCAGTCCCACAAGACCCCCCCCCCCTCACTTTAGATGCCAGTCGGAAGTCCAGGTTGTACCTGTGTTTCTGACTGACTGGCTATAAATTAAAGGTTCCTACAACTTCCTCCTTGGGTTCGATTCATTTGCTAAAGTGGCTCACAGAACTCAGAGAAACATTCTACTTAATAGATTACTAGCTTATGATAAAAGGCTGTAATTCAGGAACCTGACGGAAGAGCTGCATGAGGTCAGGGATGGGGGAAGGATACGGAGCTTCCATGCCCTGTCCAGGCACACTGCCATGTGTCTGTCCACCAACCAGAAGCTCTCCAGACCCCGTCCTTTGGGGTTTGTTTGGGGACTTCATAATAGGGGCATGAGTGATTAAGTCGTTGGCCATTGGAGAATGCACTCAATCCCCGGCCCCTCTTCCATACCGGGAGGTCAGGGGTGAGACTGAGTTCCAAGCCTTTAATCACATGGATGGCCTCCCCCCCTCCCAACCCCTAGGAGCATAAAAATTTTTAAAGGGAAACCTCACTAAAGTGGACTGCTGATGCTAGAAGGGGAGGCTGGAAGGAGCTGTACCCCTCAATCTCAATCACAGGAAGAAGTGTCTCCCCAAGGGAAGAATCATCAATAGGAAAGAACCATCAATTACAGGCCCCAACAGGAAAAGATGTGCATTGCACCTCCTACAAGAAATCCACTGCCCCTGCAGCTCAGCCAGTAAGAAACCATCATCACCCTAACCTCCCGTTTCTCTTCAGTGGGCTTTCATTCAAAACAACCCTCCCGGGCACCTGGGTTGTTCAGTGGGTTAAGCGTCTGTCTTAGGCTCAGGTCATGATCTCAGGGTCCTGGGATTGAGGCCGGGATTGAGCCCCGCATCGGGCTCTCTGCTCAGCAGGGTGTCAGCTTCTCCCTCTCCCTCTCTCCCCGCCTGTGCTCTCTGTCTCTCTCAAATAAAATCTTTAAAAACAAAACCAAAACAACCCTCCCAACCTCTCCCTGTTCCATAATATAACGATCCTCTCCTTTGTTCTCTGGACTTGCCTGTAGTTTTGCTGTAGCTCGCAGGTCCCAAATTGTAATTCTCTGTTATTCCCAAGTAAACCCATTTTTGTGGGTAAAATAACTGTTTTATTTTTAAAGTTAACAAAGACTTTCCGAAAATCACTTTATCAACTTTATTAAACTCAAATGTGGCTGAAAGAGGCTTTTCATGAGTATCAAAACACACCTCTAGGACTCTCTTCGCTTAGGAAATTCAAAGGTTTTAGGAGCTCTGTGCTAGAAACGGGATGAAAACCCAGTGCACATTTCTTGTTATAAGTCACAAAATCATAGAGGTTAACTGATCAGCAGAAGGGATGGGTGGTAAATTTAAAGATATCTACCAGAAAAAACACTAGGTTAGAGAATAAAGTTACAGGATTAGTCCAAGAAGTCCAATGAGAATCTGAGAAACAGGAATCCCGTCGAGAGCAAACCCACCCGCTGCCTGGGTGACGCAGCCCTTTAAGTGTCTGGGTCCTGATCCCAGGGTCATGAGATCGAGCCTCGAGTGCAGCCCCACGTCGGGCTCTGTTTGGGGCGTGCAGTCGGCTTGGGTTTCTCTCTCTCAAATAAACCTCAAAAGAGAGAGAGAGAGCAAACAGGAAAAGAGAAGGGGATTTTTTAAGTTCCCAAACCGAAGGAAGGACAAGAGCCCCCAGGGTGAAGAGAACTGTGTGCACAGAACAAGGAGTGAGGCTCACGTGAAGACGGGCCTCCGTGACTTTTCAGAGCACCAAGCACGGGGAAGACCCTGAAGCTCTCAGGTCTCAGGTCTCGGGTCAGAAGCCGAAGGCCGGGAATCAGAACCTCGACTTTGAGCAGCATCCCTGGAGGCTGGAAGCAAAGGTGCGCCTGAGACGTCCCAAGGGTCAGGCGTGTCCAGGCCGGAATCCTATTCTCTGCAGACTCTGGGTCCGAGACGAGCACGGAATAAACCCACTTCGGACTCGCACCCTCTCCAGAAGCACTCGAGGGCTGACGTGAGCACCGCGGGAGCGCAGACCGGGACGGAGAGGGCGCGGTCCGGGGACGACCGCGGGCGCACGAGCCGCACCGGGGGGGGGGGGGGGCTCGGGGGCTAAAGAGCCAGCGTGGCCGACGGGCGTCGCGCAGACGCAGGAGGACCCGCGGCGGCGGGGGCGAGGGAGGCAGTCCCGGCCCGTGCCCCGGGAGTGGCGGACAAAGCCGCTGCGGCGAGCACAGAGCCAGGCCTGAGGAAACCGAGGTGCGCCTGCGCGCAGGGCAAAGAGCCGCGGCCCGGGGGGAGCTCGGGGGGCAGCCCGGCCGGGCCGGGCCGCGGGAAGCCCCGACCCCGAGCTCGGGACTCCTGGGGCCGCGGCAGGGCCACCACGTCGGCGCCCCCGGTGCGGACCTGGAGGCTTCCGACAGGCTCTGCCGCGGGGGACAACGGCAGGGGACCGCTGCTCTCCAGTGCGAGACTCAAAGCCACCTGCTGGCGCCACCCTGATTTTAAGATAAGCCCAGTCAAAGGAGTCCGCGGCGAGGACGCCTCAGCTCTGAGCGGCGGAGGCCCGCCGCGGCCCGCCGCGGCCTCCGTCTCCACGGCAACGGGCGGCGCCTCCGAGCCGAGCCTCTCAGGACCGCGCCACGTAGGCCGACGCGACGGTGACGCACTTCCGGCGAGGGCCACGCCCCCTCCCGCGAGGGGGCGTGGCCCGCTTTGCCCGGTCCGCACGAGCCCGGTCCTCGGTGGCCTCCGGGCGCCCGGCTCCTTCCAGCCCAGGCGCATGCTGCTCGGCGTGGTGACAGATCCGCCGAGGTCGCCGCCGCCGCTTTTTGACGACGTGTACTACACGCTGTCCGATGTGAACGCGCCCTCCGTCCGCGTCTAGCGCACAGGCGAGCCCGGGCCCTTCCCAGGAGCAGAGCAGGAGGCTCCTCCGTCACTGTCGGGGCACGGGCCGGGACTCCCTCCCTCGCGCCCCGCCTCCTGCGGCCGCGTGCGTCACCGCCGCCGCGGGTCCTCCTGGGAGTTGTGGTTCGGGCCCGGCCCCGGGCTCCGGCGCCAGCGGGCTACAGACTACAACTCCCGGCAGGCCCCGCGGCGGCCCCAGGAGTCCCGAGCCCGGGGTCCTCGGCTGCCTCAGCCGGTGGTCTCGGCGCGGCAGGGCGGCCTGGCTGGCGGGAGCTGAGCAGCAGAGGGGCTGCGGGCAGGCTGTCCCACACCGAGGTCGTTCGGCAGGCCACTGGCAGATAGACTCGGCGCTTCTCGGCCCCCGGAGCCTCCAGGCCGAGCGGGTGGGGCGCAAACTTACGGGCAAGTGGAGGGGTCGACGGGGGCACTAGGGTCTGGCCGCGACCGGGGCCCTGGGCGGCTTCCCGAGGAAGGGGGATGGGATGGTAGGAGGCGGGGCGGACCCGGGCGGGTGGGGCGGGGTCACGCTTGGGGCGGCGCGCCCGCCCTGCCTAGTCCGGCCCGACCCGCCCCCGCTGTCCCCGCGGAGCCTCGGCCGGGGCGCAGCGCCGGGCCCTGACGTCCGCAGCGCCCGGGCCGCCAGCCCTCCGGCTCCACTCCCGGCGGCAGGTCGTGTTCGGGCGCTGCGGCTCCTGCGCGCACCAGACTGACCGCTGCAGCAGGAGCGAGGCCGCCAGAGCCCGGGGAGCCCTGCGAGGCGGGAAGCAGGCCCCCGGGGCAGCGCTGGCTCCCGCGGTGTCGGCACGGGAATGGGCATGTAGACCGCGGGCAGCCCAGGAGCAGACGGGCCGGCTTCGTCCGCCCGCCGCGTCCCGTCGGAGGTGCTAACTGTGCGTCTTGGCATCTCCCGGGCGCCACGGGGTTGGATGGCTCAGGGCTTGCGCTGAAGCTCAGCAAGGCTAGAGGCCAGTCCCCAAGTCTCCAGGCGTCAGGGCTGCAGCCCAGCAGGCTCAAGGCGGGCGGCGGGGTGGGGGGCGACTGGACGGCCAGACAGGTGAGCTCTTGACAGGCTTGTGGTGTGATAGTTTGGATTTGACTGTTTCATCCTGTGGATTCTGTCTGATGCCATGTCAGAGGAGTTTTAGTTGTTTTTGAGCGTGTGTGTGTATGTGTGTGTGTGTGATAGATAATTCTGCCTGCCAGTCCTGTGCGTTCAGAACCGATTGAAGAAATAAGGAGAGGTGCTGAACAAACTTCTTCCTAGTGGGCACCTGCGGGGCTGGGGATGAGGCAGGCCGAATGGAAGCCTTGGCAAACCCAGTCCTTCCTGGCAGGTCCCCTCCTGGCCTGTTGCTGCAGATGCAACAAGTATCTGAATGCCTTGCTCCCGCGCGGAGTGGCCCTGTGCAGTGGTTGGGGCGTGACACCCCAGTCTGCAGGGTGCCTGAAGGCTTCCATCTCGGGCCAAGATTCAGGTGATGACAGCCCTGTACTTCCTTTGGGCCTTGCGCCAGCAGGTGTCTTCGTGCTGGGCCAAGTTGGGTTTCCTGGGCGCACTATCTCAGGGCTTCCCCCCAGGCCCTAATGGGCCAGACTCCCCAGCACCCAGGATGTCCACCTTTGTCTTAGCCAGACCTGCTACATGACAGGAGCCCGTGATTCACCAAGTTTTGCCAGTGGATTGTGCCCCACAAGGTGTGGATTCAAACAGCATCATCAGGCACGGCCGGAGCACAGGGAGAGGGGCGGCAGCCGCCTGTCGTGTGTCACGTCAGCGTCATGTAACTGCGCTCTTCTGAATAAAGGCGATTTGCCAACTTTCTAGCTAAATGGGATTTAATCTTTAGGGCTTTTGCAAGTTTTTCCAATAAAGTATTCACAAATAGGGAAAACCTCTTATTTCTACACTGTCCTAGTGTATGTTTTGGAAATCATTCTGCCCTCCAAGAGCTGGCAGTTCCTTGAGACGAGAGAAACTAGTACCCAACAGAACAGACCCAGATGTCCGCCTGTTTGGTTGAGGTGGTAAATGCTGAAAGTGTAAAACTGCCTTTTAAAAACCATTTTCTCCAGACTTGCTTGCTGGCTGCCTGTGTGGTTTGCTGTGTTCTGTGTCGGCATGGCTGCTAGTTTCCAACAGGAAATCTTGGTGGCTGTCCAATTTGTGACCCGAGAAGTAGCTGCTAAGTGTCTGGAATGCTGACTCGAGGCTGGTTTGTGTTCTAAGGTAAGTTAAGTTTTGCTAAGTGTGCATCTGTCTCTTGAGTCCTCATGCTCTGACTCAGCCTTTTTTTTTTTTTTTTGAGAGAGAGAGCGAGAGAGCGAGCGCGCACAGGAGTGTGCTCGTGCGCCAGGGGGAGGGGGAGAGGGAGAGAGAATCTTAAGCAGACTCCCTCCTGAGTGTGGAGCCTGACGAGGCTCAGTCTCATGACCCTGAGACCATGACCTGAGCTGAAATCAAGAGTCAGACACTTAACCAATGAGGCACCCAGGCACCCTGCTTCAGAGTCATTTTAAACATCTGTAGTGACAGCCTCTGTGGGGGTTTGGGTCCCAGGCAGGGGTATGGCCATCTGAGGAAGATCTCAGAGTACAGCTTTTCTGGCAACGGAAGAAAAAGAAAGAACTCTCTGGGTGAATATTCCCACTGAAATGGGTGCTCCCTTCCTCTGTAGCCTCTCTGGGTTTGGTCACTGCCTCCTGACCCTGGTCCATTCCCCACTTGCCACCCCCTCTGCACACACCCCGGTGGGACCTGCTGAAGGAAAGTAGTGAGTCCTAATACCAGGAGGACTGGGCACCTGATGTCACGTGGATCATGCTCAGCATGTGCTGGGCCCCAAGGACACCAGTGACAAAGACCAGGCAGAGAGGTGGGCGCAGAGAAGGGATGGAGAGACCTGGAAAGCTACCTGGCGCACTGTGCTAGAATGCCATGTGAGGATGCTTCCGAGGCCCAGGAACTGGGTGGCTGTGTAGGAAGGGCCAGCAGGAGGGTGTTGCTGGAGGCTCTGCTCAGGCCTGAGCTGAGGTGACATCATGCTGGAAGGAGACGCTGAAGCAGAGGGCAGACCTCAACACTTGTGCGGATCAGGTGCCGGAGGGGAGGAGACAAGGAGGCTCCTAGGGCTGTGGGGGTCTCCGGGTGTGAGTGCGACAGGCGCTGGCCAGAAGCGCCTCTCGCCACGGGCTGGACTGCTCTGCTGCCCCACGTGGAGCTGTCAGCAGCTGAGGCCCAGTCCTGGCTTCATACAGACCCTTCCAGGCTCCCCTCCACCCCACTCTTCGTTCTCTGCCCGTTGCCATAGGGCAGGGCCAGGCGTGGGCCACAACTTGCTCTCCTTCTTGGGGTCCCCCCCCCCCGTGTCCTGTTGGAAATGATCCTGTAGCATGTGGCCAGTGGGTCCATAAGGCCAGCGGGTGGGCAGGTGTGGTGGCTGGCTGGGCAGGCTGAGAGACTGGCCACAGAATGGCTCATGGCACTTGGGTCCTTTCCTGCTCTGAGTGCTTCACTTCAGTGTGGAGCCGGTTTCTGGGCTCTGCAGGTGGGGTACCCCTGCTAGCAGGGACCTTCAGTTGGGCCTGTCTGTCCAGACGTGTTTGGGTTCGTGGTTGCCTGGGATGAGGCACACTCTGGCTGGAGCGCATGGGAAGGGCCAGGAGTAGCTCAGTGTGACCCGTCCATCGCTGGCAGTTCTGGGGGGTTCCCGGCACGCAGGAGGATCTGGCTGAGGCAGGCAGGGTAGGGGGTGGGGCCTATATGTGAAGGGGCACGCCACCACTCCGCGGGCAGGCCACCGGTCACAGATCTGTGGCAGCTGCTGACGGGGAGGCACCACCTCACTGCCAAGGTGGCCGCCCACGGGATGCCTCCCCTCGTCCGGAACTTGCTGGCACCCAAGAGTCAGGTGTTCTTGGGGGCATTCTTGCTGGGGCAGGCCTGGGCTTGGCTGTGCTTTCTGGAAGAAATAAGAAGCTCTTGGCCCAGGTGCCCCATCTTAGCAGGGGCCAGAGACCAGAAGGGAAGACAGGGAGAGTGGCCCAAGAGGTGAGGCTCTCTGCATGAACGGGCAATAAGGAGTTTCGTTGCGGAAAGGCTCCTAGTTAGTCCATGGGTTGGGAAGGTTTATCCTAAAACATCCACCTGCTTCTGCGGAAGCCCCCCGGAGGTCCTGCCTGGGCAGGGTGAAGAGGCCGCCGCCACAGGGGCCTGTCTGGAGGGAGGAGAATCTGCAGAAGTCGGAGCTGGCTGGGTGGGTCCTACCCTGAGAATCTGCGGGGGTCGTTGGCTCAGACACCAGGCTGGGCATGGACTGAGGCCCAGCCCTATGGACGGTGCCCCTACCCTGCCCACCCTGTACTGGACGTGGGTCTCAGAGTGGAGCTGGGCAGAGGGGAGGCGTCAGATGGCCCGTGGGGCTCGGCCCCTGCCCCTGGCAGAGCCTGGCCGCCACCCCTCCTCACTGCCCACCTGTGGCCTCAGCTGGGTGGCAGTGTTTCCTGAGGGGGCCCAGCCTGGGATGCCGAGTGGAGGGGTGACAGGTGGTTTCCCTCCCGTGCTGCTGGCCAGTGTCCTGTGGCTGAGCGGGGCCGCTGGGCCCTGATGGAAGCTGGCAGTAGCCTCAGTCTCCCTCCAGCCTCCTGGGAGCTCTGTGAGGAGACCACCCAGCCCTGTCTTGGGCAGTGCCCTAGGCCAGCTGCTTTCCGGCCTCAGAGCCCTGCTGGCAGCATGGCAGACCCTCTCCAGAATGGAGTGGTGACTGCTCTCTCAGGCTGGGAGGCCCTGGGCCCTCTCCAAGTCCTGTTGATTTTCCCTCTTAACTGTCATTCAAATCCAGTTGTGTCATTAATTAAAAAAACCTTCATTGAAGAAACATATAGTACAGGTCCCAGGTCGTAAGTGATCAGCACGTAATAAGCACCCAGATCAGGAAGTAGGACGTTCCTGGGTCCCAGAGCCCCCGTGGCAGCCTTTGCCGCCGGCTCCTTGCTTTGTGAATTTTTTGTAAATGAGTTCAGATAGTGGGCACGTGGCTGCCTTCCTTCAACATCTGTTGAGTTCTGCCTCCCAGCTGCTGGCTGTGTAGTATGGTGGGTAAACCACATCTCATGACCCAGTTCACCCTTGGGGAGACAGGCGCCCTTCCCTCTGTACAGCCTGGAGAAGACCCCAGAAGTCGGGCCTCGAGTGACCTCGAGGCGCTGTCCACTGACCTAGGGTAGCGTCCCACTCGTGTGCAGTGGCCTGGTGAGTCTGGCAGGGGGCACCTGCGCCAGGCTGTGCCCCTTCACCCCAGGGCGCCCGCTCTGTATACCTCTGAGTTCTCTGGGCGCGGAGACAGGACCTCTGTGGGCAGAGGCGTCTTCTCGGGCCTGCGGCCTTGTCAGTCTCTCAGTGGTGTGGACACTGGTTCCTGACTTCGGCACAGCCCAGCTTACCAACTGGCTGCATGGCGAAGAGTCTGTTTTCTTTTGAAAGCTTTATTGTCTTACCTTTCATGTTGATACCTGCAATCCAAATCCATTAATTGTAGAACAAATATGTGCCGAGGGGCCGTTGTGTGCCAACCACCCAGAACTGGATCTGCCAGCGCAGGTGGACCCTCTGTGGGCATTTGCCAGGTCTTGTTCCCTGGCGGTCCACCGACCTCTCCACCGGGACTGCCCCCTGCTTCTGCCCGTGCTCACCACGAGGCAGGGTCTCATAGTGGCCCGAGGGGCCTTTCCACAGAGGTGCCCACTTTCCTCCAGGACAGGTGCTGTTTGCACCTCTGAGCTCGTGTGCCCGCTGCCGGCCAGTGGCCAGGTGAGCCTCATTTGGGCTGTAGTGCACACGCTCGCCCGCTTCTCTCGGCCTCGGGGCCTTTGCACTTGCCCTCCTCCGCCTCCCTCCCTGGCTCTCCCAGACTTGTTCTCACCTGTCTCCCCGGCAGCCCGCCCAGAGCTGGCGAGAGCCTGTGTGGCCTTCTTGATGTGGCCTGAGGGTGCCGTCTGCCTGCAGGTCCCGGAGCAGTCCTGCCCGCCATGGACCCAGACCCCCAGGCAGGCGTGCAGGTGGGCATGCGTGTAGTGCGCGGCGTGGACTGGAAGTGGGGCCAGCAGGATGGCGGTGAGGGCGGCGTGGGCACGGTGGTGGAGCTTGGCCGCCACGGTAGCCCCTCGACCCCTGACCGCACGGTAGTCGTGCAGTGGGACCACGGCACTCGCACCAACTACCGCGCAGGCTACCAGGGCGCGCACGACCTGCTGCTGTACGACAACGCCCAGATCGGTGCGTGCGGCCGCCGCAGGGCCCGGGGGGTGGGGGGCAGAGCCCCGCGCTCCCTGACCCTGCCGTGCCCCCAGGCGTCCGCCACCCCAACATCATCTGTGACTGCTGCAAGAAGCACGGCTTGCGGGGCATGCGCTGGAAGTGCCGCGTCTGCTTCGACTACGACCTGTGCACGCAGTGTTACATGCACAACAAGCACGACCTTGCCCACGCCTTCGAGCGCTACGAGACGGCTCACTCCCGCCCGTGAGTCCCGCCGCCGCCCCTGCGCCCTGGCCTGGGCGTGTGGGGCCCTGGCGGCCCTGGGTCCTGGCCTGCGGCACTCCCGGCCTCACGGCAAGCACGCACAACACCTGGGCAGGCCTTGGCCCCGGAGGAGTGGCCGTCGGCCCCACCCCCACCCCGTGGAAGGTAGCCCTATCCACCGGAGCAGGTCTGCGGAGGCTGGTGCTGCGGACGGGGTCCTGGCACCAGCCCTGGAGCCGGTGTGGCCGGCTCCCCGGTGCAGCCGTGCTGGGGGCGCTGAGACGTCCAGTGTGTGTACGGCTAGCATCCCCTGGGGGCGCCCCAGCAGCCATGCTGGGGACTAACCCAGAGGCACAGCTGGGGAGACCCTGTTGGCCTGCCTAGGGGGCTCCATCGCTGGGCGGTCGGGTAGGGAATGAAGCTGGGAGGGTCTCCTGGGCCAGGGTGGCCACCCAGAGGCCCTACCCACGAGACGCTGCCGCCCTTGTCTCCCGGACACTTCCCGCGCACGTGGAGGGGAGGTGTGTGTTTGGTCCCAGCTGCCCACTGGCCAGAGCAGGGGCAGGGATCAGCTGTCTGGGCACCTCCGGGCAAGCTGCTGTGCCTTCATTCTTCCATTTCCTTGTGCCGACCTCCCCCCACCTCCCTCCCGCCGGGCCAGGCTGTGTGCTGAGCTCTGGGGACAACCCTAACGGCACGTGGCTCATTAGGAGGGAGCAGGTGTGGAGGAGGGCCGCCTATGGAGGCCATGCCGTGAGGGGGCCCGGAGTGGAGGCCGCTGACCGGCTGGGCCGGCCATCCTCGGGCGAGAGCTGGGTGGGGCAGAGGGCTTGCACCCTCACCCTGCTTCCCACGTGGCCCAGCACCCACTCACTCTCTTGCAGGGTCACGCTGAGTCCCCGCCAGGGTCTCCCAAGGATCCCGTTGAGGGGAATCTTCCAGGGGGCGAAGGTGGTGCGGGGCCCTGACTGGGAGTGGGGCTCGCAGGACGGTGAGTGGGGATCTGGGCTGCCGCTGGCTGTGGCTAAGCTTCATAGCAGGGGCTTAGCCTGCGATGGGGCCCTTGTCTCCCCAGGAGGGGAAGGGAAGCCAGGCCGAGTGGTGGACATCCGTGGCTGGGACGTGGAGACAGGCCGGAGCGTGGCCAGTGTGACGTGGGCCGACGGCACCACCAATGTGTACCGTGTGGGCCACAAGGGCAAGGTGGACCTCAAGTGTGTGGGCGAGGCGGCTGGTGGCTTCTACTACAAGGAGCACCTCCCAAGGCTCGGTAGGGTCTGGCCCCAAGGACACCACCCCTGCGTGCCCAGCTGCCCTTCTGCCCTGGCTGGGTCCTGGGGCAGCGCCGGGTGGGGGCTGGCCGGTGGAGCCGCCGAGGGAGGGGACGCTGCTGAGGGGGCCTGTTGCCCACCCCCAGGCAAACCGGCAGAGCTGCAGCGCAGGGTGAGTGCTGATGGACAGCCTTTCCAGCACGGGGACAAGGTTAAGTGTCTGCTGGACACAGACATCCTGAGGGAGATGCAGGAAGGCCACGGCGGGTGGAACCCCAGGATGGCGGAGGTGAGCCACCCCACCTGCTGAGCCCCCTGTCCCCTCCCCTCCCCACATCCTCTGGACCCCCAGCCCTCCCGCTCCACCCAGCCACAGCCTCCATGACCCGCCACAGTTTATCGGACAGACGGGCACCGTGCACCGCATCACGGACCGTGGGGATGTGCGTGTGCAGTTCGGCCATGAGACCCGCTGGACCTTCCACCCTGGGGCTCTCACCAAGGTGCATGGGGGGCTGGGCTGAGCCCCGTCTGTTCGCTTCTGCACCCCCTCCACGTACCTGACCAGCTCTGGGAATGCCTTTCTCCAGCCCTGAGGGAACAGGGGAGGGCTTTGTGGGGTCCAGAGGGGCTGAGTTCCACAGAGGGGATCCAGGCGTGAAGGGACACAGAGGGTGAGGCGCCTGCTGGGGGCTGGTGGAGGCTGGGGGCTGGCGGCCCAGGCTCCGGCCTTTACCCTGCTGGCCTCAGGAAGCCACTGCTGCATTACAGGTGGGAGGTGACCTTCTAAAATGCTCCCTGTGGGTGTGGTGTGGGGAGCACGTGGGGGCAGTGGAAAGGCCCTTTAGGAAGAGGATGGGGACAGTGGTGGGTACAGTGAACTCTGTTTGGGAAGCAGGGTTGTGCGGATAGGGGCCCTGGGTGGAGGCATGTACCCCTAGCACTCGGCTCTGGACCTGGAGTCCTGGCCCCGGGGGGTGGGGAGGTGGGGTGGGGTGTCATAAGTCCCATGGTTTGCAGAGTAAGTCTTGCATAGAGGAGGGCACAGGTGTGGGGGATGTAGCCAGGAAAGGTTTGGGGATGGGGGAGGAGTGGCTCCTGACCCGCACTCCCATGGCAGTCTGACCTGCCCCCTGGTTGTCCCAGGGCCCCACCCCCACCCCCTGTGCCCGTCTCGACTGGCCTCGGCCATGCATCAGTGTGTAGGGACAGGCCCGCCTTGACCTTCACCCCAGAGTTGGCTTTGGTCTGGTCTGGATGCCACTGCCTGGCTGTCTCTCTGGCTGTCACCCCCGTGGCTCCGGGGCTGGCCACCCAGGACTGCCCTGGTCACGTGTGACCCTCATCCAGCTCTGAGGCAGGGGCTGGGGTCAAGTTCAGGTCTGCCTGTCCTGTGGAGCTGAGGGGTGCCCTCCTGCTCCATGGCCCTGGGCAGCCACACTTGCCTGGGGGTGCCCCTCACGTGCCTCTCTGTCACTCAGCACAATGCCTTCTGGGTGGGCGATGTGGTGCGGGTCATCGACGACCTTGACACAGTGAAGCGGCTGCAGGCCGGGCACGGCGAGTGGACAGACGACATGGCCCCTGTGAGTGCCCCGGCTCCCACCCCCACCCCCTTCCTTGCCCCCTGGGAGGCCTGCCTGTGACCCTACTCTCTCCTGACTCAGGCCCTGGGCCGCATCGGGAAGGTGGTGAAAGTTTTCAGAGATGGTAACCTGCGCGTGGCGGTCGGTGGTCAGCTGTGGACCTTCAGCCCCTCCTGCCTGGTGGCCTACCGGCCCGAGGAGGATGCCAACCTTGATGTGGCCGAGCGCGCCAGGGAGAACAAAAGTGCGTGTGCCCAGCTTGGGTGGCCGGCGGGAGACAGGGCCACCCCAGCCACCACTCAACTTGAGCCCTGCCCCACCCAGGCTCCCTGAGTGTCGCCCTGGACAAGCTTCGAGCCCAGAAGAGTGACCTCGAGCACCCAGGGAGACTGGTGGTGGAGGTGGCCCTGGGCAGTATGGCCGGGGCTCTGGACCTGCTGAGGAGGCACCCAGACCAGGCGAGCTCCTGACGCCCTGCCCGTCCTCCCTTTAGCCAGCCCCAGGGAGAGGGGAAGAGGGCCGGGGACTGACCTGCAGGCTCTCCTGGCAGGTGGACACCAAGAACCAGGGCAGGACTGCCCTGCAGGTGGCCGCCTACCTCGGCCAGGTAGAGCTGGTGCGGCTGCTGCTGCAGGCGCGGGCGGGCGCGGACCTGCCGGACGAGGAGGGCAACACGGCGCTGCACTACGCCGCCCTGGGGTGAGGCGCGCGCAGGGCCGCGGTGGGGGCTGGGCGGCCCGCAGGTCCAGCCGGTGGGCATCGGGCCCCTCCTGCTTCCTCTTCCGTCAGGAACCAGCCGGAGGCTGCCCGGTTGCTCCTGAGCTCTGGGTGCGGGGCCAATGCCCTGAACAGCACCCGGAGCGCAGCCCTGCACGTGGCCGTGCAGAGGGGCTTCCTGGAGGTGGTGAGGGTCCTCTGTGAACGCGGCTGTGATGTCAACCTGCCTGTAAGTGCTGGGTCCCCTGGCTCTGGCCCCGGGGTCAAGGATACAGTGGCATTTATCTTCCTGCCAAGTGACCCCTCCCCCCCGCCGGCAGGACGGCCATGCCGACACACCTCTGCACTGTGCCATCTCGGCGGGTGCTGGCGCCAGCGGCATCGTGGAGGTCCTGACTGAGGTGCCGGGCATCGATGTCACTGCCACTAACAGCCAGGGGTTCACCCTGCTGCACCACGCATCCCTCAAGGGCCACACACTGTGAGTTTGGGGGGACAGAGCCAGCGGCAGGTTCCCGTGGTGCTGCTGGGCCACTGTGGGGACACTCCGGACCCCCGGCATGTGTCTCCGCTCCCACAGAGCTGTTAGGAGGATTCTGGCTCGCGCGCGACAGCTGGTGGATGCCAAGAAGGAGGATGGCTTCACGGCCTTGCACCTGGCCGCCCTCAACAACCACCGGGAGGTGGCCCAGATTCTCATCCGAGAGGTGTGGACACAGGGCCCTGGACCAGCCCCGGGGCGTCGTGGGGGGGGTCAGGGCCCATCTGGGGTCCCTGGGCTGAGCCCGTGCCCGCCCCTTTTCCCTGTCCTCAGGGCCGCTGTGACGTGAACGTCCGCAACCGGAAGCTGCAGTCCCCACTGCACCTGGCCGTGCAGCAGGCGCACGTGGGGCTGGTGCCGCTGCTGGTGGACGCGGGCTGCCGCGTCAACGCCGAGGACGAGGAGGGGGACACGGCCTTGCACGTGGCACTGCAGCGTCATCAGCTGCTGCCCCTGGCGGCTGATGGGGCCGGGGGGGACCCGGGGCCCTTGCAGCTCTTGTCCAGGGTGAGGAAATGTGGATCTGGGTGAAGAGGTGGGCCCTAGTGCCCGGCTGCAGGCAACAGGCAGGGTCTGAGGGACTGTCCACCTGCACTGTGGGTGGCTGACCAGGGAGCCCGGCCTTCTCGGGGGTGGCCTAGTCTCGGGGGCTGTGGTTTGCCGGAGGCGTTTTCTGCGACCCAGGCACCGCAGCGTGGCCTGACCAGCCTGGGAAAGGGGATGGGGCGCAGTGTGGCGGGGGTTGTCTGGGAACTCAGCCCCTGCCCTGGAGTTCCCTGGCAGGGGCGCTTCTCCTGCCTACCTCCCTCCTGTTCCGGCGGCCTCAGATGGTGAGGGGGTGCCAGGGCCTGGGACCCGAGGCCCCGGGCAGCCGGGTGCTGGGAGAGTCTCCCCGCAGGTCAGCGGGCCGGCCCTGGAGCCTGCCCCGGTGCCCGTCCTCACCGGCCTCTGTCTGCCGCCCAGCTACAGGCCTCGGGCCTCCCGGGCAGCGGGGAGCTGACGGTGGGCGCGGCCGTCGCATGCTTCCTGGCGCTGGAGGGCGCCGACGTGAGCTACGCCAACCACCGCGGCCGGAGCCCGCTGGACCTGGCCGCCGAGGCCCGCGTGCTCAAGGCCCTGCAGGGCTGCGCGCAGCGCTTCCGGTGAGCCCGGCGGGGTGGGGGGCGGGCCCCGGCGCCCCGGGGCCCTTTCAAGCGCCCTCCTCCAACCGCAGGGAGCGGCACGCGGGCGGCAGCGGGGGCGCGGCACCGGGCCTGAGGCTGGTGCTCGGCACCCCCAACACCGTGACGAACCTGCACGTGGCCGCGCCGTCGGGGCCCGAGGCCGCCGAGTGCCTGGTGTGCTCGGAGCTAGCGCTGCTGGTGCTGTTCTCGCCGTGCCAGCACCGCACGGTGTGCGAGGGTGAGTGCGGGGGTGTGCGGGTGTGTGCGCGTGAGGGTGAGTGCGGGTGTGTGCGTGCGCGAGGGTGAGTGCGGGGGTGTGCGTGTGTGTGCGCGCGAGGGTGAGTGCGGGTGTGTGCGCGTGAGGGTGAGTGCGGATGTGTGCGTGCGCGAGGGTGAGTGTGGGTGTGTGAGTGCAGGTGTGTGCGCGTGCGCGAGGGTGAGTGCGGGTGTGTGTGCGCGCGAGGGTGAGTGCGGGTGTGTGCGCGTGAGGGTGAGTGCGGGTGTGTGCGTGCGTGTGCGCGAGTGTGGATGTGTGAGTGCAGGTGTGTGCGGGTGTGCGCGTGCGCGAGGGTGAGTGCGGGTGTGTGAGGGTGAGTGCGGGTGTGTGCGTGCGCGTGCGCGAGGGTGAGTGTGGGTGTGTGAGTGCAGGTGTGTGTGCGGGTGTGTGTGAGTGCGGGTGTGTGCGTGCGCGTGCGCGAGTGGGTGTGTGAGTGCAGGTGTGTGTGCGGGTGTGCGCGTGCGCGAGGGTGAGTGCAGGGGTGTGCGTGTGCGCGCACGAGGGTGAGTGCGGGTGTGCGCATGCGCGAGGGTGAGGGTGAGTGCGGGTGTGTGTGCGCGCGAGAGTGAGTGCGGGTGTGTGCGCGTGAGGGTGACTGCGGGTGTGTGCGTGCGCGAGGGTGAGTGTGGGTGTGTGAGTGCAGGTGTGTGTGCGGGTGTGCGCGTGCGCGAGGGTGAGTGCGGGTGTGCGCGTGCGCGAGGGTGAGTGTGGGTGTGTGAGTGCAGGTGTGTGTGCGGGTGTGCGCGAGGGTGAGTGCGGGTGTGTGTGCGCGCGAGGGTGAGTGCGGGTGTGTGCGCGTGAGGGTGAGTGCGGGCGTGCGCGTGCGCGAGGGTGAGTGTGGGTGTGTGAGTGCAGGTGTGTGTGCAGGTGTGCGCGTGCGCGAGGGTGAGTGCGGGTGTGTGCGCGCGCGTCGGGGGCGGGGGGTGTGCGCGAGCCCGCCCAACCGCGCTCCCCTTCCCCCCGCTCCGCAGAATGTGCACGCAGGATGAAGAAATGCATCAGGTGCCAGGTGGTCATCGGCAAGAAGCTGCGTCCAGGTGGGTGGCTCACCCAGACCCGCGTCTGCGCGCACGTCCCGCCCCCACGGGCGCGACTACGCCTCCACCCGCGGCCCGCACCGCACGCCGGCCGCTCGCGGCCCCGCCTCCCCTCACCCCTGCCCCGGGTCCTGGCCCGCAGACGGCACGGAGGTGGCCAGCGCGACCCCGGCGCCCGGCCCGCCGCGGCAGCTGGTGGAGGAGCTGCAGAGCCGCTACCGGCAGATGGAGGAGCGCATCACCTGCCCCATCTGCATCGACAGCCACATCCGCCTCGTGTTCCAGTGCGGCCACGGCGCGTGCGCGCCCTGCGGCGCCGCGCTCAGCGCCTGCCCCATTTGCCGCCAGCCCATCCGCGACCGCATCCAGATCTTCGTGTAGCCCGCGCCCCCCCCCGTCCCCCGCCTCGCCCGCCCCGCCACGTTCCGGAGCCACGTCCCGCCGTCGCCTACGCAAGCCCCCACCCGTGTTTTATAAAAAGATTCTCGGACTTTTCCGCCTGGTGCCTGCCTGGGGCGAGGGCCGGGCGGGTCCGCACCCGGGGCCCGCCCCGCCGCGCCGCTGCCCCCCACCCGGGCTGTCCTGATCCGCCCCTCTTCCGCCGCTGCCCCAGCTCCAGGCTCTGCGCTTTGGCCCGGGCCCCGCGCGTCCTGCTCATTCTAGCGCTGACGCGCCCAGACCCCGTCCGCTGAGCCAGAGTCGTCCTCCGGGCCGAGGCGCAGGCCGCCTCCCACGGTCCTGGCCTGGGTCCGGGGAAGGATGGGGCCTGGGAGCGTGCTGTGCGCCAGAAGCGCTGGGGCGGCCAGAATCCCGGTGTCTGCCCAGCTGGTGGTCTTCCTCCGACCCCCTGCCGCGTCGCCCTCACGGCGCCTTTCTCTTTTCCCCGGGGCGGGCTGTGTAGTCGCCTCTGACTGCTGTCTGTGGCCCGTCGGGTGCCTGCTAAGCAGGGAGTTGGGGGGAGGTGTTTCTTTCGGGCCTGGGGCCCCATAGGGTCTTAGCACCGTTGAGCGTGGAAGACGGGAACAGCGCGCTGGGGAGGGGCGGACACAGGGCGGAAGGCAGTTTGTTGGGGCAAATATTTAGCCCCGAAGAGCGGGGCACAGCTCTGAGCTGGGCTCAGCGGCCGGGCAGGGCGCTTTCCAAGAACCACCCGAAATGCCCCCCGTCCCCCCGCCCCCGAGCCTCCGGCTGTCAGCCAGCAACTTGGCGCTGACCCCGCTGGCCTGGTGTGCTGCCCTCTGGGCGCGAGGCCTGGATGGAGAGCGGAGCGCCGAGCCCCGGCCGGGCTGGCCTTCTGCTCTCCCTCTGCTCCCTCCCCCACCCATCCGCGCCTGCTCTCACTCTCTCGGGCCTCCTGGAGCCCAGTTCCCCCAGCCCGAGGACCCTCGCCACCAGCCCGCCCGCCTCAGCTCCTCCAGCCTGCAGGCCGGCCCGTCGAGGCTTCCGGCCTCAGGACACTGCTCCCCTGCGTCCCCACCCAGGCCCATTCCAGGCCTTGGCCCCAGCCAGGGGCTCCCGCCCCCCGCCCCGACCGCACCTCATTCGCTTCCCTTCTAGCCCTCATGGGGTCTCTTCCCTCCAGCTTCCAGAGCCTGGTGCTGTCCCCATGCCGCCTGCCCCCTCCCCTGCCTCTCACCCCGCCCCCCCAGCACCCAGTACTCACTCTCCTCATCCCCACCCCTCTCTGGGGCACCCGGTCAGGCCTCCGCGCGGGCAGGGGACAGGTCCTGAGTGGGCTAGAATGGAGGCTCCGCTCCCAGGTCTCATTCAGCCTCCAGGGGCTGGAGAAATTCCATCCAGGAGAAAAGCTGGTCTCAGACCCCAACTGACTACCCTTCCCTCAGCCTGAGCCTCCGGCATCTATCCCTTCTCTCGCTGCCGGGCCCTCCTCGCCCCCCCTCCCCAAGTGACCCCGCCCCGCAGGCCCTGCCCATGCTGCTGCCACCGACCCGCAGGCCCCGGGTCCGCACCCCAGGCTGGCGGCCGGGCTGTCCCGACAGCGGGGACGGCCGGCCAGCTGGTTCCCTTCGGGGCACGCGCCTCCCCCTGCACCCACCCCTGTAACCCGAGCCGCTCACAGCGCCTCCCCGCGCAGCCCCACTGGGCGCTAGGCCCCGACAGCGAGTCCGCAGGCGCCATGGGCCTCGGGGCCTGCATGTCCTCGGCGGCGTCGGGGGCCCGAGCCCAGGCTCGCCGGCTGGAAGCCGTGCTGGGCGCCCTGTGCCTGCTGCCGGTGCTCCTGCTGCTGGCCCGGCTCGGGGCCCCGGCGGCCCGGCTGGGGGCCAGTGCGGCGCAGGTGAGAGCGGGTGGGGACGGGCAGAGGGGTGGGCGCCCGGGGGGTTCAAGAGCCTGCGTGTCGGGGGGGGGGGGGGAGGGGGGCAGGGGGAGGAGGAAGCCAGCATCAGGCCTCCAGCTCCGCCCACTCTGACCTGGCCTGTGGTTAGTAACCTTTTTCTTCCTGGCTGTAAAAGCAGCAAACTGGGGTAGAAAACCTGAAAACGCAGAAAGACCAAGGGAGGGAATTTCAACACTCCCTGAACCACGCACCCGCTTGTTTTCTTTAGTTCTTTTTCCGAGTGTTTTCAGACATGGGGATGATCCCTACTGCGTCCCCACGAGCACTCGCTTTCCTTGAAGGGAGACATCGCCGCACCCTACCCCGCCGGGGTCTTCGCCACCCCAGGACCTGGTCCTCTGCTCCTCCAGGCGCCCCGCAGACGCCGCTACACGCTGACCCCAGCCAGGCTGCGCTGGGACCACTTCAACCTCACCTACAGGTGAGACCGTGGCCCAGGAGGGTGGGGGCGGGGCAGCATGTCCCAGCCTGGCCGCCACCCCTGACCTTAACCCCCATCCCAGGATCCTCTCCTTCCCACGGAACCTGCTGAGCCCCAGTGAGACCCGGCGGGGCCTGGCCACCGCCTTCCGCATGTGGAGTGACGTGTCCCCCTTCAGCTTCCGAGAGGTGGCCCCTGAGCAGCCCAGCGACCTCCGCATAGGTGGGCGCCGTGCCCCCGCCCCCGCCTGGCCCTGCGGCCCCCTCTCAGCCCTGTGCTCCCCCAGGCTTCTACCCGGTCAACCACACGGATTGCCTGGTGTCCGCGCTGCACCACTGCTTTGATGGCCCAACAGGCGAGCTGGCTCACGCCTTCTTCCCTCCGCACGGCGGCATCCACTTTGATGACAGCGAATACTGGGTCCTGGGCCCCACGCGCTACAGCTGGAAGAAAGGTGATGGCCTGGCCTCCCGTGGGGCCCTCTGCACCATGGTGGGCACAGCAGGAGGGCTTTGGGGGTGGTGGCTGTGATTTGGGGTCAAGGAGGCAGGAGGGGGTGCTGGGAGGCGGCCGTAGGCCTGGGTTCCAGGAGCCCTGAGGAACCCACCCCGCCCCCGCCCCCGCCCCCTGCTGCTGGAGACGGCGCTGGAGCTACATTCCTGGGCACCGAGCTCACTGCCTCTGGAACATTCTTATCTTCCTGTGGCTGTGCTGAGGGAGGCTCCGTGGCCACAGTGCAGCTGATGTGGCCACGGCAAGCACGGCTTGCTGGCAGAGTGGGGCGGGCTGGGCCAGGGTTCGAGGGGCTGACCCGCCGGACCTGCAGGCGTTTGGCTCACCGACCTGGTGCACGTGGCGGCCCACGAGATTGGCCACGCGCTGGGCCTGATGCACTCGCAGCATGGCCGGGCGCTCATGCACCTCAATGCCACTCTGCGTGGCTGGAAGACGCTGTCACAGGACGAGCTGTGGGGGCTGCACCGACTCTACGGTGAGTGCCGCGGGGGGGCGGGCTAGGGGCCGGCTGGGGGGCCGGCCCTAAGGCCACGATGCCCTCCGGCAGGCTGCCTGGACCGGCTGTTCGTGTGCACGTCCTGGGCTCGGAGGGGCTTCTGTGATACCCGCCGGAGGCTTATGAAGAGGCTCTGCCCCAGCAGCTGCGACTTCTGCTACGGTGAGGCTGGGTCCCCACTCTGGGCGTGGGGCATGGCTCTGGCTGCGGGCGGGGGGGTGGGGGGGGACACTGATGTGGCCCTCCCTGACCCCGCCCCCTTCCGCTGCCGAGCAGAGTTTCCCTTCCCCACGGTGGCCGCCACTGCACCACCACCCAGGACCAAGACCAGGCTGGTGCCTGAGGGCCGGAATGTGACCTTCCGCTGTGGCCAGAAGATCCTCCACAAGAAAGGCAAAGTGTAGTGAGTGGCCCTGCCCCATGACCCCGAGGGTGGGCAGCGGGGGCTCGGGACCCTGCCCAGCCCTGCCACCCTCCCCGCAGCTGGTACAAGGACCAGGAACCCCTGGAGTTCTCCTACCCGGGCTACCTGGCGCTGGGCGAGGCACACCTGAGCATCATCGCCAATGCCATCAACGAGGGCACGTACACCTGTGTGGTGCGCCGGCGGCAGCGTGTGCTCAGCACCTACTCCTGGCGAGTCCGAGTGCGGGGCTGAGCGCCCTGCAGGGCTGAGGCCGCTGATAAAGCACTTTCTCAATGAAGCCTGCGCGCCCTTTCTTGGGAGGGAGGGCGGCCAGCCTCGGGCCCGTGGGGTGGGGCCGCTCAGCCTGTGCTCAGCTTGATGCGGGGAGCCCACTTCCCCACAGTTCCTTGGGAGTGAGGATGCGGCCCTCAGAGGCCAAGGCCAAAGAGGGTTTTTCTTGGCTGGTCCTGGAGAAATGGGGTAAGTTAAGGCCCAAATGTAAATAGCATCTGCGGGAGAGCAGGCTGAGCCCAGGGAGTCCGGGGTCCCGGGTGTGTCATGGGCTTGCTCAGGGTTGGGGGAGGCAGGAAGGCGGAGAAGGGCAGGCCACTGTGCCTGCAAGGCCTCCAAAGGGAGCGGGATGGGGGTTGGGGCAAGTGAGGCCAGGAGCGAGGGCCCAGACAGGAGTTGGGGGAGGAGGCCGGGGGTGCCAACAGAAGGGACGTGGGGCAGGTGGACGCCCCAGGCAGTGGCAGGCACCCCCCTTTGCCAGAGTGACGCCCTGTCCAGCTAGACCGGGAGTCGGAGACCTGGCGGGCCAGGAAGAACCCGGCCAACATGGGGTCAGAGGCCACCCTTCTCCCCCCGTCCTCCCCCCCAGAGAATGAGGGCCTGAGGACCCCCCAGGCAGCGCACGTTAGTCTGCCAGGGGCCAGCTGTGCAGAGGACGTACCAGAGCTTTCCTCCAAGAGTATTTTACTGCATCTTAAAATGTGTTAACAACCTTGTACAAAACCCACTGTGGCCAAGAGCTCGCATGCCCGGCTCTGGGGGGCCACGGATGCCCAGAGTGAGGGGCAGGAAGGTGTGAAGCAGGAGCCTGAAGATTAAAAGCAGAAAAATCCCCCCCCCCCCCCAGCTCCATTCCACATCGAGGCCCGTAGCCTAGTAACACAGCCCCCGGTGGTGACCACGTGAGTCTGCGTGTCCGGGGGTATGCTGTGACACTGGCCACCGACGGGCGCCCGCCCACTCCTTGCAGGGCAAGTCTGACACATCTGAAAAAATACAGCCTTTCCTTCCACAAGGAAAATGTGATTTAATTCTACAAATTTACAAGCCAAGATAAAACAAAAATAAAACGTGGAAAAGCAAACAGACGGGCAGTCTGAGCCTTGAGGTGGAGACCCATGGCCACGCCGGCCTGCAGCAGCTGCGTCCGCTCAGAGCAGGGCCCGGGTCTGGCCCCACACATTGCCTCCGGCACTGGCCCGGGGCCCGGCTGAGTCGTGCTGGGCAGCCCCCCGCAGGGCTGGCGCGGCTCTGTGCCGACCCTCAAAACTTGAGGCTGAAGCCAGGCCCCGCGGCCGAGGCTCCCTGGTTTGTGGTCGTGAGGTGGAAACCCGTCTCCTTCAAATCGTCGTCGCCCTGGGGAGCAAGCGGTGCTGTGGGGCCCCGGCTGCGCCAGCCCTGCCCCAGGGAGCCCCCACCCCTTCCCCCCGCCGCCGGCCCTGCCCCTCACCAGCTGGCTATAGCCCAGGCCTCCCTCGGGGGGCCGTGGGCTCGTGCCACGCTTCACCCTTTGCTGCTCACTCTTGGCGGGCCACGTGGGGAACATGGAGGGGTCGATGGGGAGGGGGGTCTCTCGGAAATACTCATGCTTGAGGCCGTCCTCGGCACTGACTCTCCGCCCAGGGAAGTAGGTCAGGAACCTGGGGGAACAAGAGCACTTGGTACCCAGCACAGGGGTGCGGGTGGGGGTGGGGGGTGGGGCGCCCACAGGTTGACACACTTGTTCATGAGGTCAAAGCCCTGGTCTGAGAGCAGCGCCCCAAAGCGTTTACGGAGATTGTTATAGGGATATTCAGTGAAGGTCATCTTCTTGACTGCGGGGAGATCATTGTAGCCAGGCCAGATCTTCTCACTGGGGGTGCCCAGGTCCTGAGAGAGAGAGACAGGCAAGTCTCAGAACGGCCACAGCCTGCAGGGGCGGGTCTGGTCCGGGGTGCCTGCACATACCTGCCAGGGCGCCCTGCAGGCGGAAGCCACAGACGCACCTTAAACACTTTGTTGATCTGATCGATCTCCGACTTCCCAGGAAAGAGCGGCTTCTGAGTCAGCAGCTCCCCAAAGATGCAGCCCACCGACCACATGTCCACAGCCGTGGAGTACTCCTGGGAGGCCAGGGGTGCACTCAGGGGGCTGGTGGGGCAGCAAGCACGGGTGAGGCCCCCCAGCCCCCAGCACTCACCTTGGCGCCAAGCAACAGCTCTGGGGCACGGTACCACAGGGTCACCACGACTGGAGTGTAGGCCTTCAGAGGGGACCCGTATTCCCTTGCCAGCCCGAAGTCGCCGACCTGCAAGGATGGAGGGCAGGCTGTGGGCAGACCTCTGAGGCCCGGGTGTCGGGCGCCCCGAGGGGTGAGCCGTGGGGACTCACCTTGAGGATCCCAGCGTGGCTCAGCAGCAGGTTGGAGGTCTTGAGGTCCCGGTGCAGGATCCAGTTGTCATGCAGATGTTTCACACCACGCAGCAGCTGGATCATCAGGGTCTTCACCTCCCCTAGAGGGCAGTGGGTTACTGTCCTAGGTCATCTGCTCGCCTCAGCAGCGACCAGGCTTCTTGGGGTGCATTCATCCCAGGAACGCTCCCAGCTCAGGGACACTGCCAGCAGCCTGGGCAGCCCAAGGGTGGGCTGTTCCTCGTGGGGGACGCCAGAGGGCCACATCTGTAGGAGTAACTTGGGGCTGCAGGAGGCCCTCCCTGTAGCTGGCCCCCACCGAGCCCGCAGGCCCCACCTGGCAAGAAAGGCTGCTTCATGGTCTCCATCAGGCTCTTGAGGTCATGCTCCACATAGTTCATCACGATGTAGATCTTGTCCATGTTGCTGCCCACGACTATTTCCTAAAAAACAAAAGTCTGTGGGTGCCCTGCTCACCTCCAGGCCCCACCTCTGCAACCATTGACTCCAGGAGCATAGACACGCAGAGACAGTGGGGACCTACAAAGTGTGATGACCATCCAGGGGCTGACATTTGGGGTGAGGGGGCTAGCACTCCATTTCTGCACAACACAGGTAAGTGTGACTCACAGGCTGCTCTCGGGGCACAGGCCGGGGCTGCCTTACCCTGACTGTGACGATGTTGGGGTGCTGCGCCTTGAGGATGGTATTGATCTCCCTCAGAGATGTGATTGGAAAGCCCTCTTTCTCCTTCTCCATCTTCAGCCGCTTCAGAGCCACAATTTCATCTGAAAACAATTCAAAGACAGGCTGAGAAAACCTTCCACTAACACACACTTGGCTGGGACTTGGGAAGCACTTCTTGTTGTGCACCAAGAAGTCTTCTGGTTTTTTTTTTTAAAGGTTTTATTTATTTATTTGAGAGAGAGCACGAGAGCGAAGAGGGTCAGAGGGAGAAGCAGGCTCCCCGCCGAGCAGGGAGCTCGATCTGGGACTCGATCCCAGGACCCTGGGACCATGACCTGAGCCGAAGGCAGCGCTCAACCGACTGAGCCACCCAGGCGCCCGAGAAGTCTTGTTTAACTGGAAAGTCCCGTATCACGTCAGCACCAAGAAAAAAACCCAAACCTGTTGCCCGACAGAAACATGAGGCCTATTTCCAGACCAGCTTTTGTCCAAAACAGATAAGGAGGATTGTCCTATTTCTCTCTCTAGCCTGACTGTGATTCGCCAGGAGACACGGCAAACCTCAACATCCCAACATGGACACATTCATCAGGGTCCCAGGATCTCAGGTGGTCCTTCCCCGAGTTTCCAAGACCCAGATGTGGGCGGAAGGGAAGCTTCCGGTCCATGACTCACACCTGCTCAGGTGCTAACACTCAAAGCAGACCCCACAGTTCCTTCTGGAGCCGAGGCACCTGCCGTCACAAGCAAGCAGCGGAGCCTACAGTCAGGCTGACCTCTGGACTCCACAGACATCAAGGAGTCACCTGCTCAGGGGCCCGTGCTTGCCAGGGAAGGCGAGGCCATGACCGGGCATCCGGGGAGGGAAGACTCTCAGAGTAGGAACGGTGTGTTCAATGACCTCGATGCTGAGAGTGCCAAGGGTCAGGATGGCCCAGGCCTGGATCTCAGTCCCTGCAAGCTGGCTGTGGCTGGAGCAAGACGCCCTGCCTCACTCCCTCCCTCCCAGAGCCCGCACGTAGGCCCATCAAGGCTGTGCACAGCAAACGCCGGGCTGGGCCTGAGGAAGGGCGGCGGGTGCACCCAAGGACAATGCTCCTCAGGAGAAATTCCTTCCTGCCTGAGGACAGGTTTTCCGTGCCGCCTGGTTCCTGTCCTACATCTGCCCTTCCCACCTTGGGGGACCACTCGATACTGCACCCACCTGTTTTCTTGTCCTTTGCTCTGTACACCACCCCGTAAGTGCCTTCTTCGATCCTATTGAGGCACTGGAATTCCTCCACGCTCCGACAACCCTGAACGGAAGCACGCCATGAGGACGCAGCAGCCGTGGCCGCGCTCACACCTGCTTGAGCTGGTGCAGCAGTCCCTGCCCAGAACGCGTCTGGTGGCAGGGCCAGCAGCTGCCCTCCTCCCCGGCTTCTTCAGTGAGCACATGCTCTTGGCTTAAGAAATAAAACCAACATGGACAAAACCTGGTCCTGGGCACGTCCTCCTGAGCCAGGCCTGGCCGCCCTGCGCTAAGATAACAACGGGGACAGGAACGCCCACGGCAGCACAGCACCAAAGCCCCGGCACCTTCCCTCGAGGCACAGGTGACCCCGGCAGCAGATGCCCACACCAGGGGCCCCGCTCATACTCTGAGCCCCCAACCCTGTCCACCGTCGGCAAAGTCGAGCCAGCCCTGGGGGGGGGGGGGGGGACGCCTGACCTGCAGGGCAGGGAGGTACTTGGGCAGCTCTTGTTTGAGTTCAATGGGTGACAGGGCAGGAGAGTCCGGCACGAAGTCGCCTTCAGTCAGGGCGCTGCTCTGCGGAGTGCCCTCGCCGGCTTCTTCCTCCCCTTCCTCACTGTCTCCGGAGTCTCGGTCAAATCGGGACTCTGGAACTTCAAATGTTAAACCCAACTGTGGAACCAGGAATAAGCAGTGTCATCGCCCCTCTGCTGCTCTGGGGTGGGGGTGGGGGGGACACCGAGTGCACACCAGAGCCGCACGGGAGAGACCCCAGATGCTGCACACAGCTGCGTACCCCACCACTCTGGACAGAGGGCACTGGGGTCTTGGGGTTCGCCACCTCAGCCGTGAGCACTGGGAGCTGCTGACTGGAGCCGGGGCTCAAAGGCGGCACAGCCAGGACTCGTCCGTCAGGCCCTGAGGGCATGGCCTGGCTGCTGCCTACTGGGGGTGCCCGCCCTGCGGATGGAGCGGAGCTCAGAGGCCAGGGCGGAGGGCGCCTCCCTGCCGTGTCTAAGCCATTGGGATGCTGAGGACGACATTCACTTAGCACTGCCCCTAGTCAGGGGTGCTGGCCCTCCACGGTCACAAGCGGGTCTCTCGGAGTCGGCTGCCTGTGCCTCGGGGGAGGGCTGCGCACACAAGATGGTGATCTGCTGGCTTTAGAAAGGGTCACAGTCGCTGAGGGGCAGCCGAGGGAAGGACCGCCCAGCGGGGTTGCCGCTCACCGACCAGGACATGATTCTCGCTCTCCCGCTCCCCGTCCTCACTCATCTCGTCCTCGCTCACTTCCTCTGCAAGACAGAGTGGGCGTCTGGTCGGACCTGCAGGGCCGTTCAGACCCTCCACGAGCACAAACAAGGGTCTGCTTTAGCCACCCGAAAGCAAGAACCACTGTAAATCATCAATTTTGGGGTCTCACGTGAGTTCCAGATACCAAGGCATTTTCTGTTTGGAAATATTTTTAAACTGAGAGTTCTAATGATCTCTCTGCAGTTTCTAAACACCAGACAAAACCATCAGCGCCCTGTGCCCTCACCAGCCGACTGTCCAGATGCGTCCTCAGAGTTGCTCCCGGTCTCCTCTTCCTCCTCCTCCTCCTCCTCCGATTCTTCACTGCTGCTCCCCTCCTCCTCCTCCTCCTCCTCTTCTTCCTCCTCCTCCTCTTCTTCCTCCTCTGAACCCGACCCTGACTCCGCTTCGGGAAGAAAACAGCCGGAAGTGCACGGTGGGGACCGGTGGGCCCTCCCTGCGCAGCGGCGAAACCAGCGGTTACCTGACGAGGACTCAGCGGAGCTGGTTTTCCTTTCGCTGTCGCTGACGTCTTGTAGGTCGGACAGCAGGTCTCTCTCTTCCATTTTCTCTTCTTTTACTTAGGAAACAAACCACCAAAGGTGAATGTGGGAAGTGTTTTACAATAAACAAGACCCGATGGCATCTTTCATGCAGAGACTAACTGTGGTTTGTGTGACACACAGCTCCCCCACACTGAGCTGGAAGATGGCTCTCGAAGACCGTAACAAACGTCTCCACCGACAAATACAAACGTACTTCACACAAATGACGGTCCCGTCACGCGATACGGGACAACTGTAGCCTATCCTCTCATCGTACGCAAAAGAAGCAAGTTTTTGTGCTAAAACGTTTGTCAGCGGAGAGCCACGCCATGCGGGCCCCCAGAGAGGCACTGTGCACCCTCACCTGGCTTCCGGCCGTCTGTCAGCTCAAACCTCTCCCGGGGTGGCCGTAGCGGGCTGCGACTCCAGTGGCTTGCTTTCACTTTGTCGCCATAGTCTTCTCTCATCGTTCGGTGATGCGTAGAAACTGGGGCACAAAACACAGCAGGACATGGAGCTGGCAGCGTCCTCTCCAGCAGGCGCCCAGCTCGGTGAGGTCTCACCTGCACCCTTGCCGGTGGTGACACACGACACATGCCCTGGCGACAGAGGCCTGGAGGCTGCGAGCTGTCCCTGAGGACCCACGTGGACCTTCCAGACTCTTCTCCACTGGTCAAAAGGGAAGGGGCCACGACCCACCCCCTCAAGCCTGTGCCTGACCCGTGTGGGCAGCAGACTCAGCTCCAGCACCAGGCCCGGGAAGGCCCCAGCCGCACACCCTCACCTCACACCTGAAGTGACCACGGCCCTCCTCGGCAGGGAATTACGCGGTCAGGCTCAACTCCTGAGCCCCACGGCCTGTCCCCACTTCGCTCGGCCACCATCCCGAGCGCCTCATCCCTCAGTGTCACTTGTGCAGCCCTGAGCTCACCCATGGGAACAGCACCCCACCGCAGGGTGCGCCCACCCGCACCTTCCCTCCGGGCCTCGCGCTCCTTGCGCCGCTCCTCGGCCCGCCGCTCCCGCTCCTTCTGTTCCCGCTGCTCCTTCTGCTGCTCGCGCATCTTTCGTTCTCTCTCCCGCTTCCTCTCCAGCTGCTCGAGGCGGTCCCTGCAACAAGCACAAGCCAACTCTCTCCACAAACACAAAGTTTTCCTTTTTTACCCCAAGTGCTTTTTTGTTCAAATTTAAAAGTTGTCCATTTAGGTTATTCAAACCATAAAGGACTGTTTAAAAGCAGAAAATAGATGTGCACACATCCAGACAGCCACAACAGAATAAAGCAAGGGGCGCCTGGGTGGCTCAGTCAGTCAAGCATCTGACTCTTGCTTTCGGCTCAGGTCATGACTTCAGGGTCGTGAGACTGAGCCCCACGTCAGGCTCCATGTTCAGCACAGAGACTGCTTGTCTCCCTCTCTCTGCCCGCCCCCCCCACCCGTTTGTGCGTTCTAATAAAATCTTTTTTTTAAAAAAAAAACATTTTTATTTACTTGACGGACAGAGATTGAGAGAGAGTGCGTGCGCTCACGCACAAGCAGGGGGAGCGGCAGGCAGAGGGAGAGGGAGAAGCAGACTCCACGCTGAGCAGGGAGCCCAATGTGGGACCCCTGGGATCATGACCTGAGCTGAAGGCAGAAGCTTCACTGACTGAGCCACTCAGGCACCCCTCAAATAAATAAAATCTTTAAAAAAAAAAAAAAAAAGGTTTTATTTGTCAGAGAGAGAAAGAGCGCATAAGCAGGGGGAGCGGCAGGCAGAGGGAGTAGCAGGCTTCCCAGTGAGCAGGGAGCCCTATGCAGGGCTCAATCCCAGACCCCGAGAGTATGACCCGAGCTGAAGGCAGCCACTTAACCGACTGAGCCACCCAGTCGCCCCACAAATAAAATCTTAAAAAATAATAATAATAAAGCAAAACACTAGCACAATGAGATAAGTGCCAATGACGAATGAGCCTACTGCTTCCAGATGCCTGTTTAGCAGACCTACTAGGTATGGATGACAGCACAATTTAAATCCACCTTTATCACTAAGTTTTCAGGGGCTACAGACGGGGTGGAAGAGTCCAGCTGGGGGAAGTCGGGAGGAGGATCTAGACTCAGGCCAGGGGCCCCATCCGACCCTCCTTACTGGATTCTATGGCAGGTGGACCCCCCAGACGATTCCCCAGCCCAGCCTGGCGTGGAGGTCAGCGGGCATGAGTGTGATATGTGAAGGGCAGTGGGGAAAGCTGCTTCATGAAGGCGGCAAGAGTCATCCGAGTACTGCGGTGTGTGTGGCTTACTGCACCACAACACGGCAAATAGTGAAAACTGGCCAGTTACAGTAAATTTTCATGTCCCTACAGTTATGTCCAAATATAAAAAGCTATTACAAAAAAAAAAAAGTACATACCAGTATACACAAACAGAAATGAGCACAAACAATGGTGAAAACAGAACAAGCCCGTGGTCCAGTCACCAGTCCTGTACCAACTTTGGGGTCTATCAGATGTCACCACTGCGAAGGCTGGGATTCTAGAAACTATTCTCTAAGTGCCTGAGTCCAAACTGTCGTGAGATAAAAGCTGTAACATAACATACGAAATCCAACCACAGAATTCCATTTTTCATAAATTTATGGAATTGTGCAACCATCACCACGAGCCAGTTTTAAAACACTCCCATCGCCTGATAGGCCCCCTCACGCCCATCTGTGGCCAGCTCCTAGCCTGCCCCACGAACCTGTTTCTATCTGCTTGGGATTCTGTGGATATTCCTTCTGCTTGCTTTGGGTTGAGTCTGCTTCTCTGTTCTGCTTTCTGCAGAAGCTCGGATGCTGACCTGAAAACTTCCTTCTCTGTTATCAGTGCTTAAAAGCCAAAACATCTCACTCCGTGCACAGCCTTTTCTGCATCACTAAGTTTTGGCATGCTCCTTTTGTTTTCATTCAGTTCAAAATGTCCCCCCTACCCCCGCCCCCAGTAGACTCCATGTTCAGCGAGGTGCCCAACGCAGGGCTTGAACTCACCACCCTGAGATCAAGACCCGAGTTGGGATCAAGTCGGATGCTTAACCGACTGAGCCACCCAGGCACCCGTTTTTCCTTTTAATTTCTTCTTTGGGCCATAGGTTATGTAGGAAAGGACTGCTGGATTTCCATTTGAGGATGTCCTCAGGTTTTTTTGTGTTGATTTCTACTTCAATCCTTTCGTGGTAAGAGGGTGTACTTTGTACAACCTCAGTTCTCTTAGATTCGGAACTTGCGTGGCCCACATATGATCTATGTTGGACAACGTTCCCTCTCAAGAGTGGACTCTGCAGCTGTGGGTGGGGTGCTAAACGCAAGGTCAGTGAGACTGATCTGGTACAGGTTATTTTCCAGTTTTATATCCTTTTCTCTAGCTGTTCTGTCAACGATGACAATGTGGCATTGAATTTCCAGCTACGATGGATGAACTGCCTATTTCTCCTTCCAGCTATCAGGCACACACACGCTCATCACCATCACTTCTTTCTGCTGCACGGACCCTTCTGTCGTGGGAAGCCTGTGTTCGTGCTGGTCTGACTTCTGTCAGGTAACCCTGACGTCTCGCCTGAGCCACGTGTGCTCTGCAGCTGCTGTGGGACGTCTCTGTCCACACGTCTACTTTTGACCTACTTTGTCCTGGACTCGGAGGTTCTCCTTGCAGACAACCTACTGCATCATGCTTTGCTATCAAAGAACCTCTTCTCTGGGGTATAGAAACCACTCCATGTTTCCTGTAATTATGGATGTGGCTGAATTCACCTTTTGTTACTGTTTTAATTTTGTCTCCTGTCTTTTTAGGTCCTGTTTCTCCCTTTTTGGTTTAAATAAGGATTTTTAGAATACCATGTTAATTGCTCTGTATTACTTTATTAGTTATTTTCCTAGTGGTCGCTCCAGCACGGGAAGCATGCCCCTTGTCGTCCCAGTGAATGCAGAGGCCCTGCTCTGACACAGCTCCGGCCCTCCCTTCTCTGTGCAGCCTACTCATGCTACGCGTCACAGGAGAGCATTTTAACTGTCACTGTTTTATGCAATCCTATGTCTCCTATAGAAATTGAGAAGATGTGAGAAAAAACATTTATAGATTCTGTTATGTTAACCTAAGCCTTTACCATTTCCAGTGCTCTTTTCTTCCTTCTTCCTTTTCTTCCCTGATACCTTCTGCTGTCATTTCCATTCAACATGAAGGTATTCCTTGAGTATTTAAGGCAGGTCTTGCTAACAATGAATTCCACCAGTTTATCTTCCTTATTCCCCCTCACTTTGGAAGAACAGTTTTGCTGGATACAGAACTCCTGGTTGCCAGGCTTTCTTTTCGCAGTGGGACCATGCCATTCCACCACCCTCACCGACTCTGAGAAGTCAGCCTCCAATCACACTGAAGCCTCCCTTCTATGTAGATTTTTTCTCCTGCTTTCAAGATTTTCTCTTTGGCTTTCACGTTTCACTGTGATGTCACTTTATTTATCCCACTTGGGATATGAGCTTCTAGATGTATAGATAAATGTTTTTCATTTTTTTTTTTTAAGATTTTATTCATTTATTTGACAGAGAGAGAGAGAGAGAGACAGTGAGAGAGTGAACACAAGCAGGGGGAGTGCGAGAGGGAGAAGCAGGCCTCCCGCTGAGTAAAGAGCCTGACGTGGGGCTTGATCCCAGGATCCCAGCTGAGCCACCCAGGCGCCCCAAATGTTTTTCATCTTTGAGGTTCTGTTCATCTTTTGTCAATTCTCTCCATTCTTTAGAAAGCATAATTTCTATCACTCCATTTCAAGTTCCTTGCTAATGTGGAACACTTGATTTCTACTGATGCTTTTCTTCCTTAATACAGAGTCATACTTTCCTATTTCTTTTATATCTCAAAACTTTTTGTTGAAAATTGGACAGATTTCAGGGGCACTCTAACAAAACCTTTTTTTTTTTTTTTTTAAGATTTTACTTATTTGACTGAGAGAGAGAACACAAGCGGCGGGGGGGCGGGTGGCAGGCAGAGGGAGAGGGAGAAACAGACTCCCCACTGAGCAGGGAGACCGACGTGGGGCTCCATCCCAGGACCCTGGGATCATGACCTGAGCTGAAGGCAGATGCTTAACCGACTAAGCAGCCCAGGTGCTCCTCTAACAAAATCTTAAAAAAAAAAAAAAAAAAAAAGAAAAGAAAATTGACGTTTCAGATAACATACTGTAGCAATTTTGGATTCTCATTTTCTCTCTCAGTTGCCGTTTGTTTGGTAACACGCCACGCTAATGTGTGAACTCTTGTCTCCCGACTAGAGTGTGGCCACTGCTGTTTTCTTTCCCATACGTTTTTTATTTTCAGGCTTGGCTTCCTTGGAGTTACCACTGTGTGTGCACAGCTGTGCTGTCAGCCCATCCTAAACAGCGTCAGCACAGGGCCTGGCAAACATGGGTGTTTCACATGCCAGCAGTGAACCTGGACACAAAGCTCTGCTAACCTCATGATCTCAGACCTTTACCTGAAGACCCAGCTCGTCCCACACCGCCTCCACGAGAGAACAAAGGCTCTTGTCACATCTTCGTCAGTTCAGCCCTTCGGCCTTGGTTCCTGGAATGCTGGCACATCTACCCTCCTACTTCTCCCTTCCTTGTAGCAGGCCACCCACCAAGCTTTCCCTGGAAATGACCTCAATATACAGAGGTTGCCCTACTATTCACATCACTGATCTGGGGCTAAACAGATGCTTTTTCCTGGGAATCTGAGCCCACAGAGGTGTACTTGGAGACATGTCCAAGAGTCTGGTGTCTCAGCTCCCAGGCCGCTACCAAGCCCTTGGGATTTCCTTTTGTTTTGTCTGAAAGAACTACAGCCTATTTCTGCAGTCTAGAGTCTATCAGAGAACCCGAAGCAATGTATTTCCTTAGTTTTCCTGGCTTAGGCCACCTAGAACAGAGCCTGGTACAGAGCACACACTCAATGAATACTTGCCCAGTAATCACCCTAAACTAGACTTCTTTTGGGTACAGATTCTGTGTCAGGATTTCTATACGTGCACTGGGCTATCTCCAAGAGCTATGATTCGAACACAGTACTCCCCTTCCTCTCACGAGGCATGCCCCATCCTGACGCAGCAAGCTCAGAGGTATTTACAGTCCCTCCTCCCCCTCACCCATCATCAGCTGAGAGGCCTAGGAAGATCACTTCTCCCTCTTCTACCTTCCTTTCCCTCTCCACTGTTAGGTGTTTGGCCCTAAAACTTCATTCCCTGTGCCTGAATTCCTATCTCAGACCCAGCTCCTGCCAGCAATGCCCCTTCCTCCAGGTCCACGTCACACTCTTACACGGGGTCTCGAGCAACTGCCGGCATGGCCTCGCTCCCGAGTACCTCCCTCAGCAGCCTCCACCTGGAGAAACTGACACACAGAGTTCCATTCCCTTTATTATCTTTTCTCAGGAAGATTTACACCCATTTCAGTCTTCAAGATGCAGTAAAAACTCAATCCCTTTAGCACAAATCTCTTGGTTTACACCACCACGTTTACTGCACCGTGACTCTGGGCTCACAAACCACTTCTGCATCACATCTGTGTTATGCTGCCGGGTCACCGTGTGTCAAGATGGTCTCTTCTGCCACTTTGACGGCCTACTGGCCCCAGGAGTGCTCCATTCAGGCTCCTTAGCAAACTGTGCTCACTCACCTCTCCCTTCTGGAGTGTTCCCGGGCCATCTCCCTCCTCTTCTGCCTCTCCCACTCTCGGCGAGCCTTGTCCTGCTCCTCTCGGTGCCGTTTCCGGCGCTCGTGCTCTCGCTCTTTTTCCTTTGCTCTAGCGTGCTTCCCTAAGGAGAAAGAGAGTGTCATGCAAAGGGGCCCAACTCCCAAAACTTAATTTGCAAATACCCAGTGAAGAAGAGAATACTCAATTAATGACTTGGAGTCTCCGACTCAGGGAAAAATAACGTGGTGACCACTGAATAGAATTGTAACTGCATCTTGTTTCTCAATTTTCTGTATTAAATAAACTATGATTGGACTAGAGCTGACCAATGAACACAGGGCAGGGGCACCGACACCCCTGTGGCCGGAAATCCAAGGGTAATTATGAGTCCTTAACAGTCAACTACTAACAGCCTACTGCTGAACAGAAGCTTTACTGGCAACACATCTTTTGTGTCACGTGTGTTCCCTACTGTACTCTTAAACTGTGTAAGCTACAGAAAAGAGACTATCATTAGAAGAACTAGAAGGAAGGGAAAGTGTGTTTACAGCACTGTCCTGCGTTTACCAGGAAAAATCCGTGTGCAAGTGGACCATGAAGTTCCAGCCCATGCAGGGTTAGCTGTATACCAGTTCCGTAACTAAACAACATCATCATCATTCGTAAAGAACACAGGACAAAGTTCAACTCCTTATGGTGGATTTCCATCTTGTGTGACAGAACCATGTTCACCAACTGCATTGATAACATGAAACTTAAACCAGGTGCCAGGGCCATATTTCCCAACACCCCTAAGAACCTCTTAATGGTAGGAGATCAAACCCATTTGGACTTCATCAAACATCTTTTTATTTTCAGTTAATTCAACACTGAACTGCTATAAAAATCGCATGTAAATCTCCTATTTTTGTTGAATTAAGACAATATGACATTTAAACGAACTAACCCACAACAATGTAACAAGGGGAAAAAAACACCAGAAGAAAAATGAAACACCTATTCAGAATGATCTACAATAAATTTATGCTTTCAGCTAAAATTTTACTTTCTCTTCTCTTTCAATTGTGCTCTGGAGAAGACAGCAGATCATTAACATAGGAAGAGACCACACTTAAGCAGGATACCAAAAAAAAAAAAAACCCCAAAAAAACCCCAAACAAAACGAACAAACAAAAAACCTAAAAAAAAAATTAATTAAAAAAAAAGCTTCTGTACCCCCTTCTGCTGAATGGCTACGATGCCTACGTTTCTCTTTCCTCTTTTCATCTTTCCTGTGATGAGCCTTTTCTTTCCGAGACATTTGCTGTGGTGGTTTGATAGCCAAAGAATCATCTTCCTCTCCTCTGAAATACACAACAGCATCACAGCATGCTAAGAGTAATGAAAGGAGCCTCAGGGCACTGTGGAGCTTCTCTAACCCAGAAACATGCAGCGTTCAGAATACAAAAGAGTGCAGTCTGAACCATCGTTTTAAATATTGTTAACTACGAAACTTAAGCCAAAACTGCTTGTCAAATACAGACTCAGATCAAAAGTGTAAGTGAAAAATCAACGCCTATATGGAGCAATGCCTCTCTGAGGAAACTTTAGGGGGCAACAGACATGTTCATTACCCTGATCATAACTGCACAAATATGTACAAATACGTCAAACTGCACACTTCATATATATGCAGTTTGTCATTTATATACCAACAAAGCTGTTAAAAAAAAGGTACCATGATTTTAATGAACTTAATGACCCCAAAAGGTCCCTCAACAGTATCTTCAACTGCCTGTATGACTGAAATCCTGGGAGACTTCTTGATCTATGTCTCTGTACCTCAGTTTCTGGTTAGGTTGGCTTTAATTATCTGATGATGGATAATCTGGTGCTGATGATGGGTACGAGAAGGAATCAAGTGGTGCAGGGAAAAGTGTTAGAATACACAGGCCTGGGTAGGACCATTTCTGCTTACAGGACTTGCTCAATATACTTCAGTACTCTAATGTGGTTTATCTGTGCACAATTTTAGGCAGTGATTTTATTAATCATCAAAAGCACACAGAACAATTATTTAAATGTAGTTCGTGAGGGGTGCCTGGGTGGCTCAGTCGGAGAAATGTCTGCCTTTGGCTCAGGTCACGATCCCAGGGTCCTGGGATGGAGCCTAGTTTAGGCTCCCTGCTCAGTGGGGAGTCTGCTTCTCCCTCTCCCACTGCCCCTACCCCCACTCTTTGCACTCTCTCAAAAATATAAAAATCCTTAAAAACAAACAAACAAACAAACAAGTGTGGTTTGAGGACTTAATTGAAGGATGATTGCAAGGAAAGAGATATACACTCACTCAACTTTCGTAACAGGGGTGCGGTGGCAAGTGATAACACACAGTCTATCTCAACTGTGAGGTAAACCTGAAGTCAGGACTACAGATGTTTTCAAAGTAACACTGAGAAAGGTCAGACAGGGCCCCTGCCATGCGGGGGGACCCCGCCGGCCCCCACGCTCTTCCCTGCTGTACACCTCGCCCCCACCTGTCTTCCATGGAGTCCTCTCTTCTGTATGGTGAGTTCCGTATCGTAATCTCCATGCGGTGGTCCCTCAGCTCCCCCTCCTCAAGGGAATCCCGCTTGGAATCCCGGTCATCAGACTAAGAAGCAAGGAGAAAGTCATTTTCCTTACATAAGTGTCTTTTTAATGATAATCAAACCTTGCCAACATCCAAAAACAAAGTTTCACATATGCTTTGGATGGACCAATGTTACAAAACATGAAAAAACTTTCACTCAAATCACACGATGCTAAAATCAAAACTCGCTGCAAACTCAGAACCTGAGATGAAACATCCGAAACCAGCACACAGGACAAGGAATATTAGACTCTCTGCCAAGTATGTTAGTTGTTTACAGAAGCCGAAATTGAGCCCTAAGGTATATTTCATGCCAGATACTCCGGGATATTTCGCCAGTCGTTAGGAAGGGTCAGCGACCAACGTTATCAGAAGAGGTGCTTTTGCCAACATCCCTTTCAAAACTACCAAGAGTTTCTCCGAACACGTTATCACCAAACCAAAAAGGAAAAGACAGAACATTAATTTCAACGCGACTTCCTACTTCTCTACACAGAGATGGTGTCGCAAACGGAAGAGTATCAATACGAGGACAATTAGTCGCCCTGTGCTAACGAATTTAGGCTGAAAGCACTTCATTCTCCACGTAGAGCCCGCCGTCCACACACAGCTGCAGCGTGTTATCGTGTGTCCTCAACGTAAACCGAGTATGTGAACGTTTCTGTTAATTCTCAGAACAGGCTGGGCTCACCTGCGACATTCGGAGGGACAAAAGAACTTCGCCGAAGAAGCGTTGTTCTAATGGAAAAACGAGGGCAGAGAAATTAAATCTCCTTTAAGAAAGCACGTACTTAAAAAACACGGCTTACGTTTTTTAAGCGCTTTATCTCTGCCTTCTCCTCCTGTTCCTTCCGTCGCTTCTTTTCCTGAAGAATTTCATCTAAGGTTTTCACTTTCCAAGAGTCCTTTTCATCACCCATTGGAGTCCAAACGCTGCCGGGAGAACGGAAGCTCCGTGAGGACACCGCCACCGCGGCTCCGGCCCGCGCGGCCCCCGAGCAAGCCCGGGCAGGCGCGAGGCCCGCGCCCGTCGCGCCCGCCACTCCCGCACGGCCCTGGGCAAGCTCGTCGCCCCGGCGGCCTTTCTGCCAAAGCTGGGCCGGCCCCGCGGGGCGCCGCTCCCCGGCCCTCCCCGCGCACGGGGCTCGCCGGCGGAGGGTCGCGGCCCCCGTCACAGGGCCGGGAGCCGGGGTGGGGCGCTGCGACACGGCCGCGGCGCCGGGACCCTCGCCCCCGGGCTCAGCCGCCACGAGCCGGGTCCGGCCCGGCGCCGCCTCCAGCCCCAGCTCCGCGCGGGGCGACGAGGCGGGAAGCGACGCCCGGACGCGAGCGGCCGGGGAGCTGGCTGCGCCCGCCGCGCGTCCCGGCCCTCCGCCGCTCACCCCTGCACCGCCGCCGCCGCCGCCGCCGCCGCCGCCACCGGTCCCGGAGCCTGAGGAGAAACAGCGCCCGGCGCGCGCCAGCAGCGTCGCCACTTCCTGCGTCGGCGCGGCCTGATGACACGCGGGGGCGGGGCCCGCCGCAGCCTCCGGGGCGAGGGGATCCGGCGCGCGGGCCTACGTCACTTCCGCCCTGGGATCCCTCGGTGGCCCCACCTACTGACGCGGAGCCGCCGCCGCCCCGGGGCGCCTGCTCGGGCCGCGCGCCTACCCCCGCTCCCCGGGTCCCGTCCCTGCCCCGCGCGGCACCCCGCCGGCCTTCGTGGTTTCGGGGGGCCGCAGACCCACGTTAGTGACATCTGACACGGAAAATGCCGACCGTGACGAATGCGGGCAAAAAGAGGGCGAGTGGAACGGACAGCGATTTCCTGAATCCTTGGGGACAGGGACGCCTTCCCTGTCTCCTCCCTTCGTGCTGAAAACTGCGGAGGCCACGGGGGGCGGCCGTGGCGTCAGCTCGGGAGCGGACACGGGACGGCCCCTCCGTGACGAGCGCGCGACGGACACGGCTCACGTTTACCGTACTTTTGCGGAACGGAGTCCCAGGTGGTCGATTTCGACAGAAATGGCCAAGAGGCACCGGTGCGTCGCCGCGGCAGATGTAACCGCCCTTTCGAGAAAGTACCGATCCGGCCACTTGAACACAAGCCGGTGAAAGGAAGCGCACACACGCATTGTTACCACGCACTTTGAGCTCTCCGGTTTTGTTCGGCATAAAGCAAATACAACTCGTTCAGATGTAGACAGTTACTGACGTAATTTCCGAGTTTGCCGTGTGGGAAAGTCACCGTGACTGTGGCCCTCCCCAGCCTAGAGCCCAGGACACCCCCTGGGCGGGTTCAGAATCGACTCCCACATCTGCGAACAGACTAGAAACGGCCAGTGAAGGTCCGTTTTACTCAAATGAAAACCGGGGGGGAAAAAAACTGGGAGCGCCTGGCTGCTCAGTCGGTGGAGCCTGTGACTCGATCTTACTGTGAGATGGAGCCCTACACTGGGTGTAGCGATTACGTAAAAATAAAGTCTTCAGGGGCGCCTGGGTGGCTCAGTCGGTAAGCGTCTGCCTTCCGCTCGGGTCATGGTCCCGGGGTCCTGGGATCGAGCCCCGCATCAGGATCCTTGCTTAGCAGGAAACCTGCTTCTCCCTCCCACTCCCTCTGCTTGCGTTCCCTCTTTCTTGCGGTGTCTGTCAAATAAATAAAATCTTAAAAAAAAAAAAAATACTAAAGCTTGTCTGCACTGAACTCGAGAGGTCATAAAAGAATAGCAAGGGGCGCCTGAGTGGCTCAGTGGGTTAAGCAACTGTCTTTGGCTCAGGTCATGATCCCAGGGTCCTGGGATCGAGCCCCGCATCAGGCTCCCTGCTCCGCGGGAAGCCCGTTTCCCCCTCTCCCACTCCCCCTGCTTGTGTGCCCTCGCTCGCTAATAAATACAATAAAATCTTTTTAAAAATAAAATAATTTGTTACCAATTAGAATAGTTTTCAACTGTTTCGAATCGGCATGGATCCAGTGCCCATCAAACCCAGAATCAGAACCCTCAGGAAAACTGGAAGAAATTCTTCAGAGATGGCAAAGTCGAAGGTTTTCGACCCAAGTCGCAGGGAGGTCAGCACAACCTCACCTCTGCTCTTGGCTCCTCAGCCAGGAGAGAGGGAAACAGGCAGATTCACCAGGGGAGCTGGTGGCATTCTTATTTGTAAACTAAGGAATGAAGAGGCCCCAACCAGAGCACGTATGGATTTTGTGAAAGAATGAAGCCCTTAGTACAACATTGGTCAAAGGCAAAAGAAAAGATTTCTATCTGCAGTAACATTCTTGTTTTATTTTTCCAACACAGGGAAACTGTGAAAATACTTCCAGGCCTTGGGAAAGCACATCACCAGACAGATGTAAAAAGCCATGCGGTGCGTGTGTCATCCCTACCGGCCCGTCCACGTGGCCATTCACAGGCAGAACCCACTGGTTCTGGGAAAAGCATTTCCAGCGTGGGTTATGGGCACGACTGCACTTGGCTAATGCTCTTTGTGGAGCGTGTGACTGTTTCTGATTCACCATGTGTATTTTTCTCAAATTAAAGACACATTTTGGATTGTGCAAGATATTCTAAGCTTTCCAGGGCAGATTTTTTTAATGCTGATATAGAGGAAATTATGACTATTGGAGTTAAAAAAAAAAAAAAAGCTTTTTATGCCCTTCAGTGGAAGTTTCCTTGAAAGCCAGACATACATACATCTCTAAGTATCGATGTAGGTAAGCAGATGACCTGACTTGACACCTGTTTGAAGTGTTTTTTTTGCAAAGGCACAGACAACGATCATGGACATGGGAGGAACTGACCCAAGGAAGTGGTGACACCCAGTGTCAACGTTAATACAAGCACGTCTGCTATTGTTCAATAAGAACATACTAGTAAAAACACTACTACACAGAGTTAATAAAAAACATGTCTGTACATTCATTCAACAAATGGCCAAGACAGGCCACAGGTTTTGTCTCCTGGCAGGGCTGTCCTGGACATGCTTTAGGGTGGAGACTAGACACTGGAAGAAGGAACGTAAGCCCTGGGCCAGCACAGTGCTGGCCACAGCTTGTGTTCTGAGAAAATGTCTCAAAAGCAGCTTTGTTGGAAATTACCTCATTTGCTCATAATTTAGGAAAATCTTCATTTTGTTTCTGATCCAAGAATTTGGAAAATCAAAATCGGCAGAAAGCCACTTGAGTGGAGACAGGGCGCAGGTGACGTGTGGGGTGGTTGGTCCCTCATGAGGCTCAGAAGCAGGCGCTGCCCATCTGGCTACGCTCAGATGACCACATCTGTGAGAAAGGCAACATGAAACCGTCTTGCAACAAGATGACCACAGCTGCGTCCTCTTCTCTGCTCACGGCCCGTCAGTAGCTGGTCATGGCGGCCACATTCTTGAGGGGGGAGGCAGGGCACTGTGGAGGCCGTGCTTTCACGCTGGTCCTCACAGACGCATGCACATCCTGCCGCCCAGCCACCTCCGAGTCCCCTTCGCTGTTGTTTGTGGAAAAGGCAGAGAGGAAGGGGGACAGAAGTGGGGAAAGTCTCATGATAAACATCTTCACAGCGGAGCTGAGCTTGACATGCAGTAGAACGCACACCTGCCTGTCCTCCGGGTGCAGCTTCATAAAATTTTGAAGTCAGCTTCATAAAAGTTGTAGTTTTTTGTTTTGTTTTGTTTGTTTTTGGTGGAAAATGTGGGCATTGATAACAGGTTGTAGTTTTAAAGGCCTTGCTTTAACCCATCATCATGGCAAACTTTTTCAAGTAGGAAGAAGTTAATGAGACATAATTATTGCTCTTTGTTTCCGAGAGATTAGATCTCTAGGAGGGCCTATTTTTTTATTTTCCAGCTGAGAAGCCAACTGGAAAACCAGTGAAGAGATGATGGGAGCCAAGGACCTGAACAACAGGGAGGGGAACTCAGACACGGGGGCCCTTAGCGCCCGAGGCCCTCCTGTCGGCTACTTCACCCAGCTGTGGCAGGCAGGCCTCAGATGGCCATGTCACCGCCGATGTCCTCCGAGTCAGGCTGCAGGTGACACGCCCCAGCGCGTGAGCTTGGCGCCACGGAGAGGTTTCATAGCCTGGTCGGCAGCGGACAGTGCCCCGATCGGAAATTCCACCAGGATGTGAGATGAGGAGCAGAGTGAAGAGGCCAGGAGCCTGAACCCAGCAAAGGGCTCAGACACCCAGCATGGTGGTTGGTCTGCTCTCGGAGGCGAGAGCCAGGCCGAGCCAGGCTGTGAGTTCAGTGTGGGTTACCTGTCATACAGGATGCCTTCCAGAAGCCACCTGTTTCCTTCTTTAAAAACTCCACTGTCATTGTAAATGCAGTGTGACAAAAACTGTGAACACGCCAAATGTTCTTCCCCGTGCCCCCCTGCTCACTCATTCACTTAGCATCCTTGCCCACGAGACAAAGTATGGTGCGGCCCCTGACCAGCAGGGTGATGGCAGGAGCACCTCTAGGGGACCCTTCAGAACAACCAGTGTTACACACAGGGGACCCGAAAACAAAAGGGAATGTCAGTATATCCCTGTCCTGAGTTAAACACCACAGATGTCTGTCTGTCCCCCACCCCTGTGACCAGCAATCACCACGTCGGGGGTCCCTGACCGAAGGCCAGCCGCAGGTGAGGGTTGGGATCCTCAGGATAGGGGGCGGCTAGTGCAGCAGAGACCCTGAAAGGGGTAGGGCACCTTCCCTTCCACCAGTGGCCTTTCCCTAAGCGGTACCAGCTGCTGGCAGTTCTGGGGTGTGGAGGACGCCGTGGGTGGAAGGGCAGGAAGGTGAGGGCCCAACAGCCCGCCCTCAGCAGCAGGAACCCTTATTTCTGTGCCCTTTCCATTCTCTCCTAGCTCTGTGGTCACTTGGCTGCTGTGGCCACCGGCCCAGGCAGGGGCGCCTCAGCCTTCTGTCTCAGCATGGCAGTGCCCCCGATGGCCGAAGGGCAGAGCGTGCAGGCCCGGGACGCTGAGCGGGCACTGTGCCGTGGGTGGGGCGCACGTTGGCACCTGTGGCTGTCACTCCCGGGGAAACTGGGCCTGGCCTAACTGCAGCCGACCTGCGTGCTGGTGAGGGCGTGCAGAGGCCAATGTGGGTCCGACGCCCTCCCCTGCGCTCAGCACAGGGTCCACAGGAGGGGGTTGTCACATTACAGGCTCAGCAGCAGCTGGCTCTGGTCTCCACCCGGGGAAGCTGACCCCTGTTCCTGGTGGTTTTCACTGAAAACCCAACAAAGGAGCAGGGAAGGCGGCACGTCACCCCACTGACCCGAGGAGGCCGGGGGTCGGCGTCAGCGAGGACAGCCGCCGCGGGCAGCACCGGGGCCCTGGGCACCTGCTGAGGCTTCCAGAGCTCAGTGGTGTGGTCTGGGGTCCTTGGGGGTCAGTGGCTCCGTGTCGTCCTCTGGTGTCCGGCTGGTGGCCGCAGCCAGGCTCTGCATGGCCTCCCGCTGACGCTGCTTGGCTTTGTTGTAGAGTAGGACTCCGGCCGTCACAAGGATGGTGCCGACGGCCGACAGGCTGGTGACTCTGTTGCCGAACACTATGACACTGAGCCAAATGGACAAGGCATGCTTCACGGTGCCGGCGACACTGCAACAACAGGGGTTACGGCCTGGGTTCGGCCCGCCCGCCGGGCCCGGGGCGCTCCCTCGCCCGCTCCCTGCTCCTTTCTTTTATTAGCAAACGTGTCAAACAGAGAAGCAGAGACCGGTTATAACGAAAAGCCATATTCCCATCGTCTAGACTAAATTAACATTTTGCTTTATCGGCTTCATCCTTTTCTGGGATCGAAATATTTTTAAGTAAATCATAGACATTATGACATTTGCCCCTACATAGCTCAGCGTGCTGTTGGGGAACAGGAGAACTGTGCAGATGGCCGTCGCGCCCTTTACTCCACGGCCGACCGACATGGGCAGAGAAAGCGGGAGCTGCCCAGGGAGGCCCCGGGGACACCGTCCGACCAGTGACAACGGCTCTGTGAGAGCAAGGCTAGGACCCCGTACAAAGGAAGTTCATGCAGAATCGCTGAAACCTTCACAGTGCTTGTGTCTGGGATCATGGACTACGCGTGCTTTACTTTTTGTACTTTTCTGTCTTTTCCAAAGTTCCTATAATGAATTAAGTATCACTCTTATGATAGGAATAAAACACACAAAAAGCACTATTTTCTGTAAAAAGAATTTCGTTTTCTGCTTTTTGCCCTTTTTTGAACCATCACTAACAATCATTAAAAAACAAAGTTTCAGGGGTATTTGGAAATAATTCCTGGCCCCAAATGGATACCAGAATGTGACAGAGACAGTGACCATCACGCCTTCAAATCTGAAGATCACGACAGTTGCTGACATTCCTGCAGACCTTTCCCATTAGGGACCCAGAAGTGGGAGGGCCGCACAGGTCACAGGTCAGGGCACGTGACTGGCACCGCACACGGCGTGGGCAGGGAGGAGCATGAGCTGTCCAGAGAGGCGCCGGGGAGACAGAGGCTGGTGCGGCTCGGCGAGGCCTCGGGGCGCTGCGGTTCTAGCAAGTACAGTGGGGACTTCGCAGCTGAGGGCCATTCCCCTGCTCTGCCACCAGCTCAGAGGTTGAAAAAACAGGCCACTGACTTACATGACAGGACGTGGCCAAAGCTGCGGACGTGGATTTCTAGGCTGCTGGCAACAGGAGCTCATGCTTTTCTGCTTGTTACTGAAAATTCTCCAGTCTTGAATGGTGCTTCCATTAAACTCTTCCAGTTACAGAAGGAAGAGAAGGCAGCGAGGCCTCTGTTTCCACAGCGGTGCCTCTGATATGGGAGCTATGGCTACGTGTGGCTATTCGAATTAAAATCGCTTAAAATTAGATAAAATTAAAAATTCCCTTCCTTGGGGGCGCCTGGGTGGCTCAGTCATTAAGCGTCTGCCTTCGGCTCAGGTCATGGTCCCAGGGTGCTGGGATCGAGCCCCGCATCGGGCTCCCTGCTCGGCGGGAAGCCTGCTTCGCCCTCTCCCACTCCCCCTGCTTGTGCTCACACACACTCTCTCTCAAATAAATAAGTAAATAAATAAAACCATAAAAGAAAAGAATTCTGTTCCTACTGCATTCACCACCTCAGGTGCCCATGGCCCCCCCACTGGACAGCCCAGAACATTCGAGCATCACAGGCAGTGCCCCTGACATGCTGTCCCAGACAGAAAAACACTGCCAACTGCTCCAGTTTCCATGCTAATGTGTAGGTGGGGTCTCCCTAGAGATGGACGTCCTGTGCTTTGCCATATTTTACACGGCACCGAACAGCACGGCCCGGCGGTCACACCATGTGGCCATGGCCCTCACTTCACATCTGACAAGCACAAAGACCGTTCATAACAATACCGGCTTAAAGTCCGCTCCTCTGCAAATGACCTGGACGCACACTTTGTCTCTCAGAAAGCTACTGTGCTTACCTGAACGTCACAGGGGAAATTTTGCCCATGAGGGCATAGGCCGTGATGCTCTGCAGGTGGAACAGAACGCCATCCATCAGCAGCAGCAACACGACATCCTGGCTATAACTGAAGCCCTTCCCACTTCTGCCGATCACCGGCAAGTCCTGTGGGTCAGAACAGGAACGACGCTCTGCTGCTGCCCAGCTTCCTTCCGCGGCTCACCCTCAGAGAAGCGTGGGGTCACGTACCCAGTCATCCGGGTCCAAAAACTGATGCTGAGCGGTGCTCTGAAAACAGCCTTCTGGGGACAACCACTCGGCACCCACCAACATTCTGAACGTGCATATACACATGGCCAATAAGCCCACAAGGAGGCGCTCAGCATCACTGACCATCCGGGAAATACAAACCAACAGCCCAACGGGAGACCGCCTGACACCTATGAGGACGGTGACCATCAAACACAGAAAACGGGAAGGTCAGGTGCAGGCAAGGATGTGGGGCCCTCGAGCACTGTTGGCGGGAAAGTAAAATGGTGCAGCCGCTGCGGAAAGTCTGGTGGGTCCTCAACAAGTTCAAGAGACAATTACTGCAGGAATAGCAACCCCACTTCTGGGTACATGCCCCAAAGAACTGGGAGCAGTGTCTTGAATCGTCATGTGCACGCCCAGGTTCACAGCAGGACTGTCCGCCAGAGCAAAAACGTGGAAGCTACCCAGGTGTCCATCGGTGGGTGGATGGACGGACAACGTGCTCCAGCAACACAGGGACTACGACTCAGCTTTAGAAAGGAGAAGTGCCGACACCTGCTAGAGCAGGAAGGACCTTGAGGACACCACGCTCAGTGACATAAGCCACTCCCCAAAGGACAAATCCCCTAGGAGTCCACTGACATGAGGGACCTAGAGTTGACAGATCCATACGGACAGAAAGTCCAGTGTAAGTGCCAGGGGCTAAGGGAGGGGTGAAGTAGCTCAGAACTCAAATATGCCGCTTTGGCATCAGGATTATTTTGGGCGGAAGACCCTTAAAAAAGAGCAGGAACAAGAAGGGCCTGGACCTCCCTCTTCCTTCCTGAGAAGCAGGAGACAAGGGCCCCACATGGAGGTCGCCCACGCAGCAGGAGGAACGAGACATGCTCGTCACCAGAGACCGAGAGTCAGGCGGACTCACCCGCCTCCACCCCACACACAGCCCACTCTCCCACAGTCACCTCTCCCCGCTCAACCTGGCACGTGCGCACGCAGGTTGTGCCCCTCCTTTGGTTTCCTCATGAGGCTCCCGTGTCACATAAAGCTTATGTTAAATCAGTCTGTGGGCTCGTCCCCTGTTAATCGCCCAGCCAGAGACCCTAGCAGGGAGAGGTAAAGTCTCGCTCCCCCTACGGGGTAAGTGGGGAGTTCCTGTTTCATGGGCACAGAGCGTCAGTCCGAGATAATGGAAGTCGGCGCACGGCCGGCGACAGTGGCTGACCACAACGTGAACGTATCTGACGTACGCTTTAAAATGGGTAGAATGGGGGCGCCTGGGTGGCTCAGTCATTAGGCGTCTGCCTTCAGCTCAGGTCATGATCCCAGGGTCCTGGGATCGAGTCCCACATCGGGCTCCCTGCTCAGCGGGAAGCCTGCTTCTCCCTCTCCCGCTCCCCCTGCTTGTGTTCTTGCTCTCACTACCTCTCTCTCTCTCTGTCAAATAAATAAATAAATAAATAAATAAATAAATAAATAAATAAATAAATAAATCTTTAAAAAAAAATAAAATGGTTAGAATGGTCAATTTTATGTTTATGTACATTTTATCACAATGAAAACATTTTTAGATATGCACAGTCTTTCAATCAACCGTTTCAATTCCAAGAATGTATCCTAGAGAAACACCCTCGTCTGCTAAAGACACGACACGTGAAACTCTGTTCTGTGTGAAATGTGCCAGGCAGTCAGGCGTCTGTCAAAGGGGCCGGGTCAGGGCACAGTCACAGCCGGAGCACAAGCAGAGGACAGAACAGCCCAGTTCCATTTGTGTTTAAAAAAAAAAGGTCTGGGCGCCTGGGTGGCTCAGTCGGTTAAGCGACTGCCTTCGGCTCAGGTCATGATCCCGGAGTCCCAGGATCGAGTCCCGCATCGGGCTCCCAGCTCCACGGGAAGCCTGCCTCTCCCTCTCCCACTCCCCCTGCTTGTGTTCCCTCTCTCGCTGTGTCTCTCTGTCGAATAAATAAATAAAATCTTTAAAAAAAATAAATAAATAAAAATAAATTTTAAAAAAGGTCTGCACAGACACGAATACATGCTTTTAAGAGACTGGTGGAATCATGCCACATACATGTGTGTCTGAGTACAAGTCTAGCCGTGCAGACAGGTCTGGAAAGGGGCTTTGGAGGAGTGGGTCAGGGGGATCAGGGGACAGACCTGCTCTCTGGTGTATATACTCCTGCCCTGTTGCTTGCTCCAAGAGGGCACGTCACTTTAAAATACTAATAAAATAAGCAAGCCTAAAGACCACCCCCAAACTCCAGGGCACTCCACAGCTACAGACTGGCCTCGCCGGGCACAGAGCCCCGTCTCAGGTTTGGCTTCCGGCCTTCTCCCCCTTCTCCTCACGCGCTGCCTGCTGCCGTTGTGAGCGCGGCAAGGAGCCACCCCATGGCCTGGAAGTCACATCGACCCACTCGCCCGTCACCGGAGAAACGCCAGCACAGACGCCCAGCGGCGTCCTGAACTCACCATGAAGATCCAGGCGGGGACCAGCATGGTCACGGCCGCAGCGCTGGTGTAGAACTGCAGCTCTGCAGCCCTGCGGGGGCAACACACGCGCCTGACGCTCCCTGTGCGCGGCCGAGGCCGGCGTTCAAGCGGGCGGCTCCAGCGAGCGCGCCCGAGCGCCGGCGCACGAGTCTGTTTTGTGCGGCACGACGGGGAGGGTCTGAGTGGCCGGCCAACCCGCAGCCATGAACCTGCCGGCCCTTCAGCCGCTTCAGTGAGGCAGCTGGAAACAGGTGGGGCTTTTCTTCCATGTTTCCACAAAGTATCTTTATTTACTTATTTTTTAAAGTTTATTTTTTTAAGTAATCTCTACACCCACCATGGGGCTCAAACCCACACCCTGAGATCAAGGGTCGCCTGCTCTTCCGACTGGGCTGGCCAGGCGTCCCCTCCACAAAGTGCTTCTAAAAGCCACATGTGGCGCCTGGGTGGCTCAGTCGTTCCCAGGGTCATGATCCCAGAGTCCTGGGATCGAGCCCCACATCAGGCTCCCTCCTCGGCAGAGAGCCTGTTTCTCCCTCTCCCTCTGTCTGCCGCTCTGCCTACTTGTGCTCCCTCTCTCTGTTAAATAAATAAATTAAAATCTTAAATAAATAATGAATGAATGAATGAATGAATGAATGCATGCATGCATGCATGCCATGTAAGCCAAAGTGGGAAAAGCGTGAGGTCTACAGGGGATTCTGAACCTTCGAATGGGCAAGAAGTCCTCTCGGGCCTACAAAATTGGGAGTTTCACGGGCTAACGATACTTACGAGAACCTGTATTTGTCCCCGCTGAGGAGCTTTTTTGAAAAAACATTCTGCAAACTAGAATAAAGAAAAGAAGAGGTTAGCTGTTGATACAAGGGGTCAGCATGGACCTCAAAGGAACCGAGCGTCTGCATCCTTCCGAAGCGGTGACGACGACGGCAGCCCTCGGGGATGGCCCCCGCACGGCGGGCCCACGCCGGGGGATTCCTGGGCATCGCTCCGCTATGAGGGGTCCCCATGACTGGCCCCTTTTACAGAAAGGTAAACTGAGGCACTCAGAGATTGAGCAATGTGCCTGAGGTTACCTAGCTCTTAGGGGTCACAGGATCCCAATGTCCCTGCTCTAAGTGCTGCACAAAACCCTGCCCTGAACCAAGAGTTCCCATAAGTCAGTAACTGCCACAGGCTGGGCACCTGCAGGCTGAACGTGTGGGGGCGGGTGAACAACACAGTCTAAGCTCACAAAGACTCCAGTGGAAAAATAATGGACAAAACTCCCAAACGGAACAGACAAACCACAGGGGAAACACACATGTGGCCAACAAGAAAATGAAACGGCGTCCAGCTTCCCCAGGAACCAAAGGGCTTGCCACTTCCACTAGGGACTCTGCCCTCTGGGCTCCAGAAGCAGTGGTTTGTTTCATTTTGTTCTGATGCAAAAACTTAGTTGAGGGCGAGGTAAGACCAAAGCTTCCGCTACAGAACTACAAACCAGACACTCTCAGGCTCTATGTCTCTGGTGGGAATTTACCCTGATGACGTCAGAAACTGCAATGGAGATGCTCCCTGCACATCTAGACAAAGAGTCATTAATTCGCAGGCATCTGCGAGCCGCACAAGGAGGCAGTCACAAGGCCCAGGCTTCTGAGAGCCCCTGGTGTCGGCACGCGACGCTCACGGGACCACAGAGGGAGCACAGCCAGACCCAGACCGAATGCATGATGAGGCCATATTAGATTTCTAGGAGCTACAAACATAAGAGGGAAAAAGCCGGAAAGAAATACATCTAAACGTCAGAAATGAAATTACAGGTGACTTTTAAATGTTTACTTGGCCCTAGTATCGAAAACCTCACGGTGAACCTGTCCGACTTTAACAGTAAAGGCAATGATAAACTCCCGTGTGGCTTTCTCCTCTCTTTTCCAGAGGCAATCAGTACTTCTCACAGAGCAGGGCCAGCCGGGGCCTAGTGTGGACTCAACACCACAGCCCAGATGCAGGGCGGCTGCGCTAATCCAAGGGCAGCCCGCAACACGACATCCATCCCCTTCCTGCTGCAGGACAAGGAACCTCCCATGTGGTGCTTTCCCACGTGCATATCACCTGACTCGGGCTGCCCCCTCCCCGGTGCCGGCGCTGGGCACAGACCAGAAACCGCCCCTTTGTTCCAGGTGCAGGACGGCCTCTTCCCCTTTGCTTAGCTGAATGTAGATGCATGAACCCACAAGGGCACTCTGGCATGTTAGCTAGCCATGTTCCTACGATGAGTGTTCTTCATACCAAGACCACGTGTTGCCAAACTCTGGCTTGGTTTTTGAGAAAAGGTTACCTTATTGAGATACAAGGTGTTTGGTATTTCGGAAAAGGCAGCATCAGATGTGTCCAGCTTTGAATTATGGAATGTAATTCTGAGCTAATCTGGACTTAAACATCCATCATCCTGATCACACCATGTGTCCCCACGCTCTTCCTGACTCACCAGTCCATGATGTTGGTGGACAACGCGGCCGAAAACCCCAGGACGTTGAAGCTTATCTCTGTGGCCGTGCACAGTGCCAGGCCTCCCATGACGGGGATGAGGGAGAGGTTGACCAGCAACCCTGGAAAGGGCAAAAGATACAGAAGAGATGCCGCGGTCAGCCTGCCCACTGCAAAATCTCTTCTGGGCGCCAAGGCCATTTTCATACCCCTCACGAAAGCTGCTAACTTCCACTTTCGCTTTAAAAATGAGCAGCTACCGGTTCTTTACACTGGAGGGAAACACAACACATCCACGTCCACGCCTGCACCCAGCCCGCCACCCTCTTCCAGGCCAGGAGCCTTACGAGGCTTTTCTCCATGAGGTGCGTCTGCCGGGCCCACGGGCAGGATGCACAAGGTTGGGGCCCTGAGCCCCAAGTCCCGCCCTGCCAGGCACCGCAGTAGCACAAACTCTCGCTTGAGAATGAGGAGGGTGGACGAACGGTCTCCGGACCAGTCTGCCCAAAAGGGGGAGCCAGAGGTGGGGGCAGTTTGACGCCCTGGCTCAACGAGTCTCCTGCCACAACCTGCCAATGACATGGAGGTCACTTCTCTTTGCTTCATTCTGAAATCCAAGGAACAAACTTGACACAGAGTTTAAGGTGAGCGAACGGAAAAGCACATTCACTTTGGAAACAGGACACTGGGCCTCATGTTGCTTCAATTTCAGATCCTATTTAGTTTACTTTGAAATTCAAAGTATGAGGGAAGAAGTCTTCCGTGGAAGAGGTCCACGCTGACCGTTGCAGACGATGGCCACCTCCCGGCACGGGACCGTGCTGGCCAGACTCGTCACTAGGGAGCCCCCAGCACACCGAGGAGCAGCCCCCAGGCCCATGCGGTTGCCAGGCTGAGAGCTGGAGGAAGGGAACCTGGCGTGTTGGGCCTCCGCCTGCCAGCACCCTTAGTTTTCTAGCATGTGGTCCTGGCCTCCAGTCCTCCTAGAAATGTCTGCTGCATGACAGACTGTACATGTGAAAACCCAGAGAACGCAAGGCTGCAAGTGCCGTCTCGCCCTTAGGAAGGACTTGCTTTTGCTGTTGGGAGGCATCCACGGGCGTGGGCATGCTTGGGGTCCCGGGGGAGAGCCCAGGGCTTTGCTGGGGTGTCCCCCTGGCAGGCCGCACTTGCCCTCAGCCCTGCAGCCCCACGAGGCTGCTCTGCCCCAAGTCCCAGCCACTGCTCGAGAATCAGCAGATGCCCCTGTGGGGAGGGAGCCACACATCGGGGTCCCTGCAGCGGGTGACCCTCAGCTCTGGAATCCCGGCCCCTCGGTCATTCTCCCCGAGAGATCCTTTTTGCTAAGTTTTATCGAGATGTTCTCACTGTTCTCAACAAGAGAGCTGGTCTAACCCCAAGCTTAGCCACCACAGCTGGAAGCCAAATCATGCTGTTTCCAAGTCACTGAAATAAACTTAGTATGGATGAGGCCCCCCCTTGATATGCAATCAGCTTCGTTTGTTTCCTGTTGCTTGTGATTTCTAGGGATTGCTGTTTACACTCTGATTGGATCGTCTTACCACCACCTCAAACACGTGTGTGGTTCCGAGGCACATCTGGGAGGGGTCCAGCTGCGAATCGGCGCTCTCCTCCCTCCACCACTCGCCTCAAGTTCCTGTCATTTTCTTAGTTGAAGCAAATGGGTATCTGTATCTAAACACCTATCGGTACTGCTCTTAGGTGAGAGATAATGTCTCATTATCTTAGATAATGCAGTATGTGCATTATTCCGCACTCTGGTCGTTTTCACGAACAATGTTGGATGGGCTCTGTTTGAAAAGGCTGGTGGGAAGAACAGGAACATGTGTGTAACGTGGAGTTGGAAACAGTCTGCTGTCATTGAAGGTTGGCGACTTGTAAATAAATCAGCTTTCTGGGCCTTATGGAGGACGGAGACGTGCAGCTGAGAAGCAGTGAAGAGCAGGCTGTCAGATGGGCTCGGGAAGGACGCAGGAGGTGGCCGACCTGGGCAAGACCGCTGGGCGCACCAGCGCATGACCACCACCAGGCAGCCCCTCGCGTGACACAGAAGGAGGGGACCAGTGACTTCTCCTTCACTTGCTTTTTACTTCCTTCCCCTGCTCCCGTGTCCCCACCAACCACGAGGCCTGCACATGTCCAAACAGCCCTGCGCTCAGCTGAGGCGAAGAAACACTTGCTGAAGTGAGTGCGTGAGGCACTGTGACTGCTCGGAGAATGTTCTAGGACGGAAGTGAAAATGTCCACCTCCGAGAGGTGAGCCCCAGCACACAGCGCTGCTGGGAGAGCCCCCACCCCGGGGGAGGGGGCACAGGTGGGCGGGGAGGGGGCGCTGGGGCCAGAGGACCCCTCACCTGTGTACTCCCCCAGGATCATCCGGGACATGATCACAGTGAAAATGGGAGCAGAGCTCTTCACTGTCTCAGCAAACGAAACTGCCACATTTTTCAGGCTGACCAGACCCAAAACCACTGTTGCAAACCTAAAAATAAGCCAAAAGTGTCATTGGGATGGAGAAGTCCACTTGCACCTGCCCTCCTCCTCCCGCTCCCCGCCCTGCTGGCCTCCCCCATGAAGACTGAGGTCTGGCCCTGCAGGGAAGGGCCCCGCGACCCCAAACGCAGGGTGCTGCTCCGTGTGTGCAGACCGGTGAGCCCAGGGAGAGGAGGGGCGTCCCTCTCAAACCACTCTTAGATTCATGGCAGTTCCAGAAAGACTCTGAACAAAACCAATACATTTGTTGTCCTAAATTCTAGACAGTCCTCGGATTACATAAAGTTTGCACTGAAAACACCTGTGATCCCATAATTACAGGGTCAGTCAGCTGGCCTCCCACTCCTAGTGATGGCCAAGACATTTTATGCAACACTCAACCAAAACGTCAGACCCCTTACCTCATTAGACCCACAAACAGCATGATCATGAGGAAATTGGGTGGATAAGAAAGCCGGGTTTTGTGCTGATATAAACAGCAAGGAACCAGTATTTTTACACATCCAATGAACGTAGTTGACAGCATCTGTACAGCACCTGAAGGAGGGAGAGGAGGGACTTGCCTCCGTTCCTACTGCGCAGGCAGACAGGACGTGCTGTTCTGCATCCCAGACACGCTCACAGCCCGAACCCTCAGTGCCCTCCTTCCCCGGGGCCGTGGGCACTTCCGTGTGCCTCTCACACGGACCCAGCATTGATCTGCAGATGCGAGGGGCCTGGCCATCACCCCCAGAAGGCCGGGCACCTGTGTTACCTAGCATGCTGGGCTCCCCTTCCAGCAAGGACAGGATGTACTTGTTGAGGAAGAGGGTACAGAAGCTGAAGAAGAACCACAGTGTGAGGTAGAGCAGAGCCCGGGAGCTCCACACGCCCAGGTCGGACTCGATGACGGTGGTCTCTGTGATGGTTATGGTGAGCACATTCTCCTCGGGCGTTCCCTCGCTCCTGGTGAAAACAACCTTCTCGCTGCGGGGGCCAAAGAGAGAGCCCCAGGCAAGGAGCGGCTTCCCCTTGGGCTTGTCCTCGGGGCCGGGGGCCAGCTCTGCCAGTGCCAGGGATTTTGCTGAAGCCGACATGCTTGTCCCCTCAAGACTGCAGGCAGCATGGGTCAGGCTGACTCCCAGGTGAAGGTCTGCAGGGAGCAGAGAGCGCCATCCACGACTCGCCTCTCCCTAGCGAGTGCAGGCTGAAATGTTAAGAAAAAAAAACTGCATTATTGATGGTGAACATTTTAATGTCCTTAGAAGTTTTAACCACCAAGTTGAGGTAAGTGTGAAAATGCAAACATGGAATTCTGGCCTTATCTTCACATCCATGTGCAAGGACAGGACATCTGTGTGCAAGGAAAGGGCGTCTGCGTGCAAGGACAGGACATCTGCATGCAAGGACAGGATGTCTGCGTGCTAGGACAGGGTGTCTGCGTGCAAGGACAGGACGTCTGCGTGCAAGGACAGGACGTCTATGTGCTAGGACAGGGCATCTGTGTGCTAGGACAGGACATCTGCGTGCAAGGACAGGAGCCCCTACAGACCCCATCTCCCCTCCCCAGCATACTTAAAACCAAAGGCTCCAACAGCTGTCCTTCCCCACGTGCCCACTGTCTGTACAGAGACCCCCAGAGGCCCCCGTCCAGGCTGCTGTTCCCCCTGAAGCCATGCCAGGGGCTCTGCACCTTCCTGCCCGATCTGGGACCTGCTGAAGTCCCCGAGGAGAGGCCGTGGCCCTGGCCCGCCCAGTGGGTCTTGGTGCTGTTATCTGCACACATGCACCTGACCGTTGATATTTTATCCCGGTTTCCCAGCAGTTCTTCGCAGGAGCACCGATCTGCCAGAGACGCTGGGTTTTTCATCTGTCCACTGGATTTTAAATTACAATCACTCTATTTTTCATTTGTGGATGTTCTATTTGGTTCCACCTGAAATTGGTCTGTTTTTCTCACAGCATATTGTTCTTTTTTGTTTTTAACTTAAAAAAATTTTTGAAGTAATCTCAACAGCCAACGTGGGGCTCGAACTCATGACCCCAGGATCAGGAGTTGCACACTCCCCTGACTGAGCCAGCCAGGCACCCCCAGTGTCTTGTTCTTTCCTCCCTTCCTACGTCTTCTGTCTTACGTTCTCCGACCGTTCCTTACCTGAGACCTCAGCAGCGCCACCCTGATTTTCTGTGTATTAGCGGGCTCTGGCCTTGGGGTTGTATGTGGTGTACGTTAGTCACCTCCAGCAGATCCTGCTGTGCAGGGGGCCCCGTGCGCCCTGGGCCTTGGGGGTTTCTTCCAGAGTGAGGGTTTGGGGTCTGCCTCTGTCACATGCTCCAGGGTGTCACTGGCCTAGGATCAATTTTATGCTACTTTTTAGACAAACCCTCAGCATATGGAACCCACACCTGCTGTTGTCAGACCTGTGGTCACGGCTTCTCAAGTGAGCCTCCGTCCTCTCTCCTAGGATCACAGGCTTAGTCAGACCTGGCTTCTCCTGTGGCAGTCAGGCAAGTTCTCCAAGTTCCTGCTTTAAGCCGAGTCCCAGGGACAACTGCCTGCCCCATCTCAGGAGGGCCAGGGTCCCACCTCCTTCCCCAGTGACATCAGACCCGAGTCCCCAGCCAGCCTCAGACGGGCTGAGCACTCAGATTTCCTGTTCCCTCAGTTTCTGACACCTGGGGGTTTCCTCTTGTCAGCGACACATCTAGAAGGACGTCCATCATACTTCATCCCTAACTCCTGGGGCTTGCAGCAGGAGGCATCCAGGGGCTAAACTGGCTGCACCACCAGCTGGGGCTTGGCAGCTCCTCTCCTGTGCCCTGGCACCCCCAGAAGGACCTCCCGTAGGAGCACAGGCTGCCCACCCCACTCCCCCCAGGCATGGGTGGCACCAACACTCGGCCGTCCTCCCCCACCTTGCCTTGGCCTGCAGTGTTCCTCCCTCTGTCCACCATGAGCTCAGCGTCACAGGCCCCAGCGAGCACCCACATCTCGAGCAGGCTGCCCACATGCATCCCAACCGTGGATGTACCAGAGCGGCCTCCCCAAAATGCACTGCAGATCACAGTGGGGTGTGCCTGGCCCTTCCATGGGCTCCCACTGCCCCCACATGAGGATAAGCTCTTCAATGTTCAGGGCTCTGCTAAAATGCCCCTGCTCAGCCTCCTCTTCCCCAGCCCAGTCCCACTGTTCTGTTCAGGGTGATGAGGTGCTTGTGCAGCTAGGACTGGCCAGGCCAGAGAGGACGTGGAGAGTCTGTGTTCCACACCCCCGACCTATGGCACGGGGTCCCTAACAGCAGAGAGAGCATCCCCACCCCAAGGGTCCCCAGGCCCCAGATCCTGGCTCCTTGCCTCTCCCTGCCTCTGTGGGCTCTGCCTCCTCAGGAAAGCCTCCCCATTAGGGCCAAATCCTAAGTTCAAGGCCCCCAGCACCACCAGGTCCTGCTTCTCAGAGACCCGTCAGTGTTGGTCATAGGTGCCCGGAAGCCACTGCTGAGATTCCAAAGCTGAACTGTTTGCAGGGCAAGGCGCTGACACTCCGGAAGTACCCACAGGACCGACAAATACAGCGAAGAACATGCTGGTGGGTAACTGACCCCTCGCAGGCCAAGCACCCCTTCTGCTGGGCTTCCATCTGAGAAACTCACAACCTTCTAGGCCACCCTCACTCTCCTTGTCCTTAAAGTCCATGTCATGATCCACCCCCACCGAGAAGCCCCAGGACCAGGCGCTTCGAGGGCCAGATGCTCCCTGCTCCCCATCTGCTTCTGGTCAGAGATTCAAGAAACCAGAAACCACCATTTGATGGCACATATATTCCCTTTGTATAAAGACCTTTAACAAGAGGTTGGTTTTCAATAAACGAGGGCCCATGCACATGGCTCCACACAGCTATGGTCCCGCTCTCATGCCTGAACCCCAATGAACACACCACCTCTGCTAACAAACACACACTGTGCCACTAGGAATGTCCTGTGAGCGTCTTTTCATGTGTTTCTGTCGGATCTGCGCTCGGAAGTGACTGCTTGGCCAGGGGCGTCCACGCACACTGCCAACCTGCACTTGACCACTCGCCCTCGAGCTCTGTGTCCCCATGTCCGGCTGCTCTGCTCCTACAGGGTCACATGGGGAAGCACCCCGGCCTGAGCAGAGGTCCTCGATGCTGGTTGCACGTTCACACGCCCAGAGCTCAAACAAGCCGACAGAAAGGGGCCCAGCTCTGCACAGACCAGTGGGCTCAGAGAATTGTGGGTGCAACCCAAGCACCAGAATTTTTAGCTCCTTGGCTGATTCTCACGTGTGGCCAAGCGAGCTACCGTGGGGGGGAGGGGAGCACTCCCTCCGAGGAGCCCACGGTTCTGTCACTGACGGTCCCAGGCTGAAAACACCCAGACCTAATCGGTGTCTCTGCAAGTGACAAGAAACAGTAAGAGACCCACAGGGCGTGCGGCTGAGGCTGGCTGCAGCGACAGGTGGTCCCGGGCGGACCCGTGTGTGATGCTCATAAAAATCTCCAGAAGATGGGGGGTTAACGTAGCATTTTTTAAAAAAGACTTATTCATTTATTTGAGAGAGAGAGAGCGCAAGCACAAGGTGGGGGAGTGGCAGCGGGAGAGGGAGAAGCAGACTCCCTGCAGAGCTCAGAGCCCAACGCAGGACTCGATCCCGGGACCTCGAGGTTATGACCTGAGCTGAAATCAAGAGTTGGACGCTTAACTGACTGAGCCACCCAGGCACCCCTAGCATTTCTGTTAGTAGCAAAACACAACTTAGGGGCGCCTGGGTGGCTCAGTCGTTAAGGGTCTGCCTTCGGCTCAGGTCACGGTCCCAGGGTCCTGGGATCGAGCCCCACATCGGGCTCCCTGCTCTGTGGGAAGCCTGCTTCTCCCTCTTCCACTCCCCCTGCTTGTGCTCTCTCTCTCTGTCAAATAAATAAATAAAATCTTTAAAAAAACCCAACAAAACACAACCTAAATGTCTATTGAAGGACGAACAGATCATAGCACATCATGGGGCCAAGGCCTACAGCAGTCAGATGCAGGGCCGCTGCCCAAGAGTCAATGGGGAAATGTTAAAACTGCTGGAGGTCTGAAATGACAAGACCAGGAAGTGGAAGGAAATATACAACATGGTTCCCCACAAGGCTGTTAAACGTGCCAAAACACCCAATATGGTTTCGAAACAAAAATATAAAAAGTTCTGAAAAGGAGTGGGGAGCAGGGAACTCAGGCCAGAGTTCAAGGGGTGGAGGACTCGGTAGGGACGGGGCCCAGGGGAAAAACAAAAGGCGTTGCAAAGTGCACGCGTGTGTGTAGGGAGGCATCGTGCTATTTTCTAAACTGTTGTATAAGCTCAGATTGACGTGTTCTCCCAGACCTCAGCTGACATTCCCAAGCCCCTGCATCTACTCAGACAATGCTTGTTTAGGCCAGAGCCCATTCGGTTAGAGCCAAATCTTCCTTCCTATGATGGATTCAGATTTCAAGCTGGCGGGAAGGAGGCCTGGCAGCACCTTCTAGCAGACCTAACTTGCCTGCCCTTCCCTAGCTCCCTGCAGCCTGCTGTCCAGTCATTTGGACCAGACTTCAGAGTGTGAGGGCCTCTCCTAGTAACTGGGGGTTGCCTCCCTCACCATCTGCCCCTCGGTGACCAGGAGCTTTCTCTTTCTGTGCCGGGGGTCTGCACTTTTCCTCCTTCCACCCACACGGAGGCAGCCACCAGGCTTCTGGGTGCAGGAGGTGCTGGGGACCCAGAGGCCCAGTCACGCCGACCAGCAGGCAACACACCAGTGCTCCCATCCCCCATGCCCCCAACAGGGCCCGGAATCCCAGGGCAGATGCTCAGGCCACCAAGACACGCTCACCTGCTAGCACACACTCTTTTCGTGACCATCAACATCTCCACAGACAGCCCACCCAGCTCGGTGATGAATCAATGTGACAACCGGGCCCAGGGCCTCATGTCCAGCAAGGTGACTGAGGGGCCAGAGCCCTCCACGTGCACATGGTTCCCACACCAAGTCCAGATATGAAAATCAGGTCTGGAGCAGTCCAAGGCATAACAGACCGGCTCTGCCTCTGTCCTTCACGTCAAGACTCACTAATCACACTGGGATGCCCAGCTGCTTGCCTGCTTTTGTCTGGTGAGACAGAAACCCACGGAGGTCAGGGAGAGAAGCAAGAAAGTAAGAATGTCAACGGGCAGGGCGCCTGGCTGGCTCAGTCACTGGGCATCTGCCTTCGGCTCAGGTCCTGATCCTAGGATCCTGGGATCGAGCCCTACATCGGGCCCCCTGCTCCGCGGGAAGCCTGCTTCTCCCTCTCCCACTCCCCCTGCTTGTGTTCCCTCTCTAGCTGTGTCTCTTTCTGTCAAATAAATAAATAAAATCTTTAAAAAAAAAAAAAAAGAATGTCCAGGGGCTTGGCCAGGAGAGTGACTGCACTCAAGACTCCTCCCGGGGTTCCAGGGGCCCAGGGTAGGGGGCTGAAACAGGCCTTGGCCTGCAGGGAATGCGGGGACTGAGGGTCACAGGCGGCCAGACAGCTGCACCCCCCTGGCAGGAGACCAGATGGCTCTTCTCTGGAGAATTCAACAGGCAAAGGACAGAGCTTGAGTATGGAAATCAGGACCCCAAGGAGAGGCTTGGACAGAGAATTAAGATGGGGGAAGACTAAGACGAGAAATTAGAGGAAGGGGCTGGAAGAAGTGCAGAGCAGGAGGCAGCAGGTCCCAGGAAGGGGGGTACCAGAGAGCTGAAGCACCAGGCCACAAGGAGATGCCACCAGACAAGGACCCTTGGAAGTCAAGAGTGGGACAGCAGAAGCAAAATCTCACCAGAGGCTCCCAGGAAGCTCCAACTCAGGACAGGACCCCCCAAAAAGTAGCCGGGGTGCTTGAGGCGGGTGGGCCATGAACCTAGGTCCGGCTCCCAGCCACACCCACAGCCGCTGGTGCCAGAAGCAATCGGCTCTGGAGAAAATCTTGCTTAATCCAGGCCAGAAGACCTTTGCATCTGAAGATCAATGGATGCGGGTCAAAGATCAAAGATTATCCGAGGAGGGCGGGGTGGCCGATGGGGGAGGACCGGCTGCCTGGCAGCTCCAGGGAGGGACAGACAGAGCCTAAGTGTGGCAGGTTGATAGGACAGTCATGCAGGTGAACAAGCCCAAGACGCCACCGGGGGTAAATGTCCAGAGATGAGTCACCTGATTGCTGAGCTGAAACAAGGATGTGATTGCATCCAAACCGCTTGCCTACAGGTGCCAACTCATCACAAATGGCAGGCGTGACTTTACCGAGACACTGGCGGACATCACCCCAACCCAGCGACCAAAGTTGAAAACACTACAGACAGAGAGACGTCCTGTTTGCCCTGATCCCATGCACTAAGAAGAACATGGCACTGCTGTGGATTTCGTGCCACGGACACGTGACTGCAAATCTAGTCGAAAGAACATGTCAGACAAACCCAAAAGTACGCAGGTCACAAAAGTCAAGGACTGGCGAAGACCACGGGGACACGGCCACTGAATGCAGTGTGGGGTTGAACCCAGACCGGCGGAGTGCACCATGGAAGACATCAGTGGAGGGAGCTGGGAGAAGGGCATACAGGTATAGTTATTTCCTCTGTCGGTCTACAAGTTCCTCAAAATGAAAAGTTTGAAAAATTTGAAATACAAAACAACTCAATCGATGGGTTACACAGAAATGACAGGGCTGATAAGTTACTGCATTCGAAAAAAACATCTGAGGAAATTATCTGGAATGCAGCAAAGAGATGTGAAATCAGAATATTAAAGAAACAGTAACCCAGGTATGGAGAAAATAATAATAAGGAAAGTTCCAGCAGAGAAAAACAGGGAAGAACTGCTATTTAAAGACAGAAAGCAGGAGCACCGGGCTGGCTTAGTTGGGGAACATGCAGCTCTTGGTCTTGGGGTCATGGGTTTGAGCCCCACTCTGGGTGACTAAAAATAAACAAATTTAGAGAAGACTAAAAACAGATAAATAAATAAATAAAATCACACTGAGCAACAAGAGACGCGGGTGGATAAGCCCGAGATCAAGGAATCAAGGAGACTGTTTGGTGGTGGGGGAGGAGGGAACACAGAGAGGGAAACAGAGTGACAACAGTTCTCAAATGCACCTGTTGAGACACTTATGACTTCTGGAATTATATTAATGTTCCACATGCTTAAAAAACAAAAATAACCAAATCAACACAATTTCTAAAGTGCGATACAAATGGGAAGAGGTGAACCAAACCACAAATCAAATAAATAACACAGTCACGCTGAAGAGAGGAGACAACCCATCCGCGTACCTTCTGAACAGTTTGCAAAATATATGTGCTCAGATTAAAAACAAATAGAACCTCAACACTGAACTCTAGATGGTGGGCTTTTTTATTGACTCATGGGTCAGGACTGAGCAGTAAGTGACTCTTCTGTGGCCCCTGGGAGTGAGACCACGGTGTGCATCTGGAGACAGCACAGATGCAGAGGAGGAGGGTGGAGTGCGCTGTGCTGTTGTGATGAGCGGAGGAACCAGGCATCAGCACTCATGGACAGATGGAAGCACACCCATGACACCTGCCCACAACACTCATCTCTGTATCTGCTTCATAATCTGGCCACTGAGGGCCCGGCCGCAGTGAGCACCCTGTCCTGGTCTTTGTTTCTAAATCTCATTCTCCACTGAAATGAACCAGCCTCCTCGGAGAAATGGCTGATTTCAGGGCTGGGGCATTAGTTGGGCCAAAAGAAAGGAAGTGCTCAAACACTGAAAGGACAGGTTAAAGGACACAGAAGTACACGAGGGAACACCCTCTGGAGAAATCTAGGGGCACTGTGAGAGAGAAAGTGAATAAGGATAGCACAGGATCAGAACTCACTGAACAAAATAAGTACCCAAACATCCACAGTGATAAATGGAGAAGAGAAGAAAGCTCTTGCTTACAGTAAAAAGTCAACGGACTGATGTCAAAGGGAGGGTAGAATTAGAAAATCACCATTTGGCCACCTTCCCCATGATCCCACAAACCACTGCATCCTAGAGACCTTCCCCTAGAGAAAGTCTTGCCCGTGTGCACCAGAAGACACATGTAAGAACGTCCACAGCAGAAACCCAGCTGTCTGTCCCTGGGAGAACCAACACATCAGGCAGGAATGTTCACATGATGTAACATCGAGCAGTAAAAACAGGGAACATACAGCAACACACAAAAGGAGGTGAGTGACAACGAAGATCTTCTCAACATGGATGAAATAAAATCATGTTTATCATCCGTCATGAGCCTGGAGTTTAAATTTGAACAGATCCCACTCCAGCCAGGATGCAGGGAAGACCCTGAGCGGCTGTGCTGGGCATGACACACGAAAGCCGCTGGTCAGTTGGTCCTGAGCTCAGAAGGTCCCACTCACCAAAGTCCTGGTGGAGTCACAGATGCCTTCCTGGACTCCAGCTCATGTGTCTCCACAGCCTGTTCTTTTGTAGACCACGTGACTCAAGGAGCTTTCAGAGGGAAGCAATTCTTGTCCTGCAAAAACTAAAAGTCAGTAACCTTAATCTGACAAGAATTGGCTTTAAGAGCCAACAGCAGTTTGGAAACAAGGTGGAGCACTGGCACCCCCAGGTCACTGGGGATAAAGGTCCGAATTATCTCCCTCTCAGATTATAGCACAAAGAACAAGAACTAAGCCGTAACCCTTTCTGACCAGCATGGAGTAGGTCAGGGAGCAGCTCTTGACTTCTCTCCTGCCCAGAGCTGTCCTCAGAATGTGCACCTGCAGGACTAAAAGGAAACCAGGTCTACTGAGATGTGGTAACACCTCAAGAAACAAGAAACAAACATGGGACATCTGGACTTGGTTTGACCGCCCCACTACATAACATGTCCTAAAGAGGGGTCAGGACTCTGCTCAACTCTGCAGTGAGGGGCTCAGGGCCAGCCAGAAAGGTTCCCTGGGCTCCAAAATGGAGACGAAGCCATGGGTGCTGCTCCTGCCACCATGAAGAAAAGCTCAGCTGGAGGCTGACGAAAATAAAGATGTCGATGTTTCCCCAGCCAATTTTGCAAAGTCCTAAATTCCAAGGCTCACAGCCTGAGGTTAAGAATCCCTGTTCTAGAACAAACAACTCAAGATATTCTCAAACACTGGGTAAGGAACTCTAGATTGGTTCAAATTGTCAACAGGGCATTTTAGATGAGATGTACTGGAAGTCTACAAGTTTTACACAGCATAATTAAAAATTCCATCTCTGGATCTATCCTAAAGAAACAATTTAACAAAGTTCTTGCTGGACCTCTGTACATACCAGGACAGACCAGTAGCTTCCTTTTTAAGACCGAGAAACTGGACACTGAGTATCCAATAGGGAGTATGTGTGTAATAAAGGCTGGCCCATTGCCAAGGTGACACAATGTAGCCCGACAAGTTTTAACAAAAAAATATTTGTCATAGATTAAGTGAGAGCAGAGTTATAAGACCTCTGCACAGTGTGCTCGGATTTAAAACGCACAAACGATCCCGAGGAGCCTATCTATGCCAGGTTAGGGCTGCCGGCAACTCTGGGAGGCAGAGTCTCACGTTCATTAAAATCTTGGTTTGTTTCTCTCCTGTTTCTAATTTGTTTACATTGAAAGAGGATTCCTTTCATCTAAAATCCTTTCTATTCCGGCTCTTAATGCCCCTTTCCATGCTGTTTAATACGCTTTCATTCTGCTTTAAAATGTTACTCTCAAGTTCAAATACTTTTGGTAAAGTACATCCCACTCCATTAAAAAAAACCCAAACTTAAAAAAAGAAAAAAGCCAGGGGCGCCTAGGTGGCTCAGCTGTTAAGCGTCTGCCTTCGGCTCAGGTCATGATCCCAGGGTCCTGGGATCGAGTCCCGCGTCGGGCTCCCTGCTCAGCCGGGAGCCTGCTCCTCCCTCTCCCACTCCCCCTGCTTGTGTTCCCTCTCTAGCTGTCTGTCTCTGTCAAATAAATAAATAAAATCTTTAAAAAAAAGAAAAAAAAGCCACTGAACAAAGAATCCACCTCCAAGTAGGCTCCCCCCCTCCACGGCAGCGGTGGGCAATGCGTCAAAGGCTGAAGCAGGGTGACTGCAACGGCATTAGCTGGACGGGGCCCAGCAAACCCGGTAGGAGTCATCTGAGGACCGGAGTGCAGGAAGCTCTGAGCCCCAACTCGCAAACTAACCGTCCGCTAAAACCAACACTCGGCAGGAGCGCACTCGCTACGCAAGGGACCGCTTTCCAAAATCCTAGGCAGGAAAGCTATCAGTTGCGGTACCTTCCCGGGCGACCGTGCCTTTAGGCCCCAGGGGCGGATGCAGCGTCCGTTACCTGGCTCCGCTCCAGGGTCGTGCCCGCCTCGGGGGCGCCTGGGTGCAGGGGCTCACAACGCAAGAAGCCCCGGGACCGACGACACGGCCCGCGCCCCCAGCGCCGACCCCGCCCCCCGCCGGGCCCCGGCAGCCAGGAAGGGCGGACGCGAGCGCGCCCCACGCTGGCCGCGCCTGCGGACCTGCGAGGCGGGGGAGCAGAGTGGGAGGAGCAGGCGCGCGGAAGAGGGCGGACCCGGCGGGACGGGGAGCACGGGCCAAGGCCACCGGGCGAGAGGCGAGGGGCCTCTCAGAGGAGGGCTCAGCCTGGGGGTGCGGGCAGCACGGCGAGGGCAGGGGCCCTGGGGGTGGACCGGGGGCTTCTCGGAGGAGGAGGGCGCAGGTCCGGAGCGGGATAGGCGGCCGCCGGAGGCAGCCTCTACCGTGTGTTTTATTCAGCGTGTCCGGGCAAATTGGCCACGCACCCTTAGACACATGACCCAGACAGGTGGCACCCCTTGGGATGCTCTCCCGATGTGAGCCGGGAAGCTGGAGGGCTGCGGGGGCCTCCCCGCGCCCCGGGCTTGCGCGCCCGAGGCCCCGCTCTGCAGCGGGACTGGGGGCCCGGCCCGGGGCTCGCCCGCGGCGCCTTCCCCCACGCCGCGGCCCCTCCACCCACAGCCCGCGCGGGGCCTCCGCGTGCGAGCACCGCTGACTCGCGGGCCGCTCGCGGCCGCGGACAGGGCGCCCACCCAGGGGCTGGCTCCGCGCCGGCGGCAAGGGTCGCCTCAGGGCCCTCCCCACGAGCGGGACTCGGAGCTGGGCCGCACGACTCTGGGGAGGGCCGAGGGGGCGGGTGGGGGGCGCGGCGCCTTCCCGACACCCGGCGACCCCGCCGCCCGTCGGGGCCTTAGGGGCGCGCGGCATTTAAGGTGGGCTGCGGGCCGCGGGCGGAGAGAGCGGCCTCCGGGGAAACAAACGGGGCCGACCGCTGCGGGCCGGGGCGCGTCCGGCTCGCGGCCTGGGGGTCGGGCTCCGACTCCCCGAGGGCTCTGCGCGAGGCTGAGGTGCAGGAGAGGTCGCATCGCGCGCGCCGGGAAGCCCCGAGAGGACCCTTCCGTCCCTGGCGGACCGGAGGCCAGGCGAGCAGCGCCTCACCGTGGGGCGGCCATCGTCCCTCCGCCCCGCTCTACGCGGCCGGCGGGCCGGGGGGCGGGGCGGGCCGAGCCTCGGGCGGAGGCGCTCGCAGCCGGCCGGAAGCGACGCGCCGGAAGTGACGCGCCGGGAGCCGACGGCGGCTCCTGCGGCCGCGCCGGAAATGGGAGCGGGCCTGCTGCTTGGCGACGGTGCCCCGGGCCGTCCCACCGCGGCCCAGGTTGGGGGGGTGTTCTGGGCGGGGCCCGCTAGTCTGAGGAGGCGCTGGCCTCTAATTCCCCTGGGGGCCGCCACGCAGCTTTTGATCTCGAGGGACAGCAAATCCAGTCCAACCAGGCCGACTTCAGAAGAGAAAGACGAGGGGCGCCTGGGTGGCTCAGTCGTTGGGCGTCTGCCTTCGGCTCGGGTCACGGTCCCGGGGTCCCGGGATCGAGCCCCGCATCGGGCTCCCTGCTCGGCAGGAAGCCTGCTTCTCCCTCTCCCACTCCCCCTGCCTGTGTTCCCTCTCTCGCTGTGTCTCTCTCTGCCAAATAAATAAATAAAATCTTATAAATAAATAAATAAATAAATAAATAAATAAATAAATAAATAAATAAATAAATAGCTATTATTGGGGCACCTGTGTGGCTCAGTCTGTTGGGCATCTGCCTTTGGCCCAGGGTCCTGGGATCGAGCCCCGCATCGGGCTCCCTGCTCGGCGGGAAGCCTGCTTCTCCCTCTCCCACTCCCCCTGCCTGTGTTCCCTCTCCCTCTGTGTCTCTGTCAAATAAATAAAATCTTAAAAAAAAAAAATTTAATAAGGGCCCCTGGGTGGCTCAGTCATTAAGCATCTGCCTTCAGCTCAGGTCATGATCCCGGGGTCCTGGGATCGAGCCCCCATCGGGCTCCCTGCTTGGTGGGAAGCCGGCTTCTCCCTCTCCCGCTCCCCCTGCTTGTGTTCCCTCTCTCACTGTCTCTCTCTCTCTCTGTCAAATAAATAAATAAAATCTTAAAAAAAAAAAAAAAAAAAGAGAAAGACAAAGGGAGCGTACTGGCTGCTGGAACTAGCAGCCTAGGAGCGTCCAGCACACCTGAGTCCCTGGGTCCCGAGGCCACGAGCGGAGGCTCGGAGGTGTAGAGCGGCGCCTGGAGGGCCGCACCTGCCCTGCCTGCCTTCTCCAACCGTGTACCTGCCCACGTAGTTTCCAGGAGCACGGTTATGGCTAATGGCCGCTCCTTCAAGACGACAGTGCTGTTTAGTTCTTACTTATTTTTCTTTACAGTAATTTAAAATTAGTACCTTTTCTCCTTTAGACCAGTTAGTGGAAGGTGCCCACAGGCCGGGCTTTTCCTGGGCTCTTCCACAGGGCAGGCGAGCAAAGCAGTGAGCTGCCAGGGCTGGCCAAGGGCCGGCCGGAGGTGAAAGGTACAGGAAGAAAGCAGCAAAAGGGAAATTAGTGTTTACTTCCATGCCTACTTCAGAACATAATATGGTGCCGTCTTCATCATCCCTGATTTAGGAGGACTTCATCCATCTGCACAAAGTTCACAGAGTAGATTTTTCTTCTTTGCACAAAACCCTGAGATGCTTGATGACTTCCCGGTGGTCCTGGGTTTTGGTGGTCTGTGAGTCGTTTGTAGCCAAATAATTCCAAAAGCAAATTTATAAAAACTCAACATTTTTACAGCAAAATCTTTCTTCCATTTCATCTGGGGAAACAGTCTTGAAAGGATGTCATGTGGGGCGCCTGAGTGGCTCAGATTGTTAAGCATCTGCCTTCGGCTCAGGTCATGACTCTCTGTCTCAAATGAATAAATAAAATCTTAAAAAAAAAAAAGAAAAAGAAATGTCATGTGAGCCTGGGGACCTTCCCCTCCCCTCTGGGCTTCCATTTGGCCTCCAAGCCGTGCTGCCCAGGCCTTCAGCCATGGCCTGAGGAGGCCTTTGTTCC